CATATGGACGGCCGGCTTCCTCCCGCGCTAGGTCGTTCACCCATTGACAGTTTCCTTGGAAAGTCCTGACGCCATCCGGCTTGACACCAACATCGTAGAATTTATTCGCTAGGTGAAACCAACAAAGGGCGTTACCAACTGTACCAACTTCGTTGCTGACACCATTTCTCGCTCCCAGACTCATCCGGTCCCACAAGTCTTGATCCGTAAACAGATCTATGAGATGCTGTGCCACAGCTTTATAATCACCGGGCTCGACTAAGAAGCCGTTCACCTTATCCTTGACCTGAATCGGTATACCGCCGGCCAGAGTAGCGATCACCGGTCGTCCAGCATGTAATGCTTCGGATACTTTAACCTCGAAACCCTCTCGCGTGGATAGCTGAAGAACCACATGAGATTTCGCGATTAGAGTATTGAGAAGCTGATCATTAGCCTGTAGACGCATGACACTAATGTCGTTGGTATATTCTGAATAATATGTCTCGATTTGTTCCATGACGATGTCATATATCAAATTTCCATCTGGATCATCAATGGAGCTGTTACCAGCGCTGTAACAAAGAGTTAGCTTTGGATTTTCAAATTTACAACTCTAAGGGAAACCCACACTACAAGCTGAGGGATATCTTGTAACCCTAACTCTTTGGCGCGCCGACGAAATTCACCATACGAATCTATGACCGTTGGTATACCCTTTGCTGGGTCGAAGCGAGCAACTTGTATGATGTATTTGCCTAGTTATATACATTAGCCCATGCCGTAGACGTAAGGATTGTAATTCTTACAGTCCGGAAGCCTCAGTGGGGTCCTAAAACAGCCTACATCAGTATATCCCCTTGCTTAGGTAAATTCGGAATAGACTTACATGCGTTGGGCATGGCACTGCTCGTTGTAACAGCTCCAATAGTAACCACTATCCCAATCATTTATGGGCTTATTCAAACCATCAAGCCTTTATAGTGTTAGACGAGGACTAACTCATCATTAAAAGGGGTAGAACACTTACCAATCTGTGGTCGCTGGCATGTACGCGACTAAATTGCGAGGAACGTTGTCCGGGACAAATTTAGGGATGGGATGGCTCACGAACATATCGGCGTGGCGGATATTGTTCCACAGGAAAGTCCATGCTTGTTCTTGCGGCGAGCCACTCTGGGCAATAAGATCGCTACGGATTTGGATATGAGAGCGGTAGATGATGGGGCGGTTTGGCGTAATGTTTTTTATTAGTGGTATAAGTCCAGGCATTTGAGGGTCATCAATCTAGGGGAGTTAAAATTAGCCTCAATAAGCCAGTCATATATTTTTGGAAATCCATCTATCGAAGTAGTATGAAGATAAGGAACTATAAAAAAGGGGAGAAAAGAATTGAAGGGACAAACGTAATTGGCGTATCAACTCGATTATTGGACTTTTAATTAAACGATTTCATTCACATACCACAATTATGTCGGCACCGCCTTCACCAACAGGGCGTAAAGGACCTCCTTTAGAGAGCCAATAACGGTTGGCATTATCGGTAATCCAGTCTGTAATCGACTCTTGGTCTTCTGGGGTGATGCGCTCCTCCGGCTCACTAACGCCTTGAAGAATGTTGTGTATGTTCTTTGTGATCCGGAACACACCCGGACGTGGCTTCGGAACTAGGATATAATGTTATTACAGTGTTCATTGACAAGAGGCTCACTAATGCCCCCAAATGAGGCATAAGCTATTGGTCTAAGGCACATCTCAACATACCGTACCAGGTCAAAACAACGCCTGCCAAACGGGCGAATCGCACCAATGCATGCCGCATGAGTGCGACTCCACCCCCCTGAGGGGTTGCACTAAAGAAGGCGATTTTGATTTTCTTATCCTTTAGCTGCTTGGCGAAGTACATCGTTGAATCCCACGTGCCATTGCTGCACGTTGGCTTGTAGTCGCCGAGGGTAGTCAAGCGAGCTCTAAATCCTGCATCGCTCATAACGGCACCACGGAAGCCGACTTGGAGTATGGGAACCAGAGAAGGGCCAAAAACCCTGCCGAGTGATGTTACTATCATGAAGAGCGTGTAAAGGTGGGCGCTCGAACTTACATTACACACTTGCGTGCCATCGAATCGGCCTGCTCATCAACATTTTTATCGTCCCAGAAGGACGTCTCGGACTGGTCGACATCGAAGTCAATAGGAACAATATCGATTTCCAACCAGAGGCGCGAATTTAGGGTCGGGCTCATGTCCTTTAAATATAAAGGAAGCCCGGCACCGACGAACTTGACAAAGTTTTCGTGCTCATACTTCTGTATCTGAGAGATTACATAATCTGCGATAATATCTTTGTCTTCTTGCAAAGGATCAACTGTTAACTGCTCGACCATGTAATCGAGTAGATATGTATGATCGTGTGTTGCAATGGACAACACCACAATACCGTCGCCGTTTTTCACAGCTGAGATACCAGCAAACAACGGCTTCATATAGCAGGTTAGCCATGAGTTGTACATTCTTCAAGTTTAGATGTAACTTACTGTTAGAGCCCGTGCAAAGGGCCCGTCTGGTTTACGTTAGTATCACGTATTAAGGAAGGGTGGTTTATTTCTCGGGGCCACTCCGTCCTTAGGAGGGGGAGGGGAATATGCTACTATTTTCTAGCATAAGGGGTTCAATAATGAAAGATATTGAGACATACTGCGAATATGTTAGCCTCTGCAGATGACTCCGGATAGCCCGTTGGAAATTAAAGAAGCTCTCATGTTGGTACCATACGGGGAGAATGTCTATACTGACCATTTGGCAGCGAACTCACTCAGCCGGCGCTGGTGATGTGCGGAAGTTGTTGAGAACCTCCTTCTCCTTTCTGGTGGTGCCATGCTTGCTCAAGCACCGAATGTAAGATGGTGTTTATTAGTCTAGTAACTGTCTGTCGTATTATAAGTTTGGTTGTTACAACGAAGGTTTAGAAGACGATGCTGATCCGTGAAGAGGAAAACCTTCTGCTATCTTACCTGGGTAGGTATTTATAAAAGTAGAATAGTTAATAGGGTGGGTAGGTAGGTAGGTAAGTAGTAGGTAGTTTAAACACAGCATCCGGGAAGATCGGTGAGGAGACTCGGAAGGGGAAATGCGGTGTGAGGCGAGAGATGCTGAGATGATTTCTATTCCTTTCAAGTTCATACGTTAATACTTCAGGTACATGTAGGTACTTTTGGAGGCGTATGTGAGGTACCTAACGTATTCATCGGGCATCTGCCAACATTTCACTTACTTTCCTACCAATCCGGAGGAAGTGGAATGATCTTACTCGTTTTGCCAGTTGCACTTACCTAGTGGCAAGGCAAGCATAGCCTTAACCTTCAATAGCATACATCATATAAGCATGACCCCTATATATGTAGGTACCTGAGCTGTACCCCCATGTATCGGCTGAGTTACCATACATGTATTGATCGTGATCGGAATTGGAGATCGGACTGTAGCGTCACAGTGACGCACTCGACCTTAGGTCCAAAATTGAAGAGGATTCGACGAGGGGCGTCCAGAGTAAGTACAGTAAATATGACTATGCTAAAATAGCTAAATCGCAAGACTTATCAAATATGCATGATATGAATGTAGTCGTAGGGTCAAATTAGAATTGAGGCTCAAGAGAACTTCCCGGGTCCATGGTTTTCTCTTACCTACCCTTTAATTACCCTACGTACGTATACTACTACCTAAGGAAGTGCCCCTCATGTGTTGTTGGCCACTTTGGGCAAGCATGATCGTAAGTTTTAGATGCGAGGAGATGTGCTACAAATATTACATTTTAAGCTACCTCCTAGGAACCTACGTTAGGTACTTATCCAACATCCATCCGGGCCATGGCCGGGGATGCAGGGCAAGTACCTCGGGACGCACCTTATGTAGGTAGGTATGTAAAGCCATCCCGCGGGGGTTTTAAGGGAAAACTTCCGCCATTCCGCCCCTCCGCCCCTCGTACGATTTTCGAATGTTGCTCTGCCCTGACCCGAAGGCTCGACACCGCACGTTTACCGACCGCGTGGGATGCTTTTTCTCAGGAACGCATGAATCGCAACATTACAGCCAGGAGAATGAGCTTACATTTCCTTACTGTATGCTCTACCAAAATTGGCGAATTGGCGAATTGGAGAATTCATAGCCGCCCATTACGAGTGCCACCTCTGCGCCAGCTCAATCATGTCGCGCTACTCTAACGAAGACGAACGTGCCACCCGACTATGACCAAGATTCAGCAGTTCTCATAATCTTTGTTTGCGTTAATCATCTGCTTTCCTGCCGGTACTCGTATTCGGGGAACGCCAACGGCATGGTCTATAGTGGCCCGTAGTCCCCGTCCAATAGCATTACTAGCCACACGGCATGTCCTGCTAAATTAAGAATTTTCTTTTCTCCATCAACGTACACGCCGAGGCATGACCAGAAATCGTGTTAGGAAGCACTGCTGATATGCCTTCAACCGTCGGTGTATGAAGGTCTAGGCCAAAAGTCTTGCATATCAGAACTTGGTAAAGCTACGTGCGAGTAGAAAAGAATTATACGGTCGTATTTAAGCTACAGTGGCTAATATCGCTATAAATATAGTGATAAGCCACCCGAATTTAGTGAATGGGCCACTATCAACCTCTAACTTAGCGTTTAGCTAATATAGGTACCTAGTGTCAATAAGTCAAGAGACTTACAAGATACGGTGCTAAGGATCTGGGCATGTGCAAGACTTTTCGGCCTGGGCCTATCTGTATGCTACCGCGTTGTCAGGATGGTAGTTTCAGGTCGAATTTTGCCACAGGTATGATGACAGCAGCGATATTTTCTATGCCCTTGTTGTCATCTGGGACTACCTAGGTAATTTAGCACCCTTATAACACTAAGCAACAGCCCCAATTCACCTAATGCTTCAATAATCCCGCCTAGACAAGGAGACATAACTAAGTCAAGAATATTATTTTATATCTAACAGCCAATTGATAGGGTTAACTAATTAAGGTATTAGAATTTTTATTAATATTTTCTCTTTTGAGCTATGCTGGCGAAGTAGCAGGTTCGCTTGCTCGCTTACCACCTTAATGCGGGAAAATCGCATGAAAAATCGCATGAAAATGCCCAATGTTCGTAGTTAAGTATAATACATATCTAACATCTAGCTCTAAGATCCATCCCTAACAATTTCGACAAACATATCGAGTAAGGATAGAAGGTATATAGCTCGCTGTATCTTGTCATCACGCTCACTTGCTGTCACCCTTCTTCTTCTTGTCATCTTGTTTCGCTTCCTCCCCACCTTTATCCCCATCCTTTCCACCCTCCTTGTCGTCCGCCTTGTCGTCCTTCTTTTCCCCTTTACCCCCGCCCTTCCCGCTGCTTGACTTCTTCGCATTCTCCTCTGCCTTCTTCTTCTCTTCGGCCTCCTTTTCCTTTTTTATTTTTTCTTTCTCCTTCTTCTCAAGGACTTCCCATTTCTCGGTATAATCCTCCTCGCCCCTTCGGTCGTGTAGCTTCTCATCCAGGCCTGTTAGCCTTGGCTTCGCATCGCCAACTTTCATCCGCCCAATGAGACTGATAAAAATGGCAGCGCCTACGATAGCAGTTAATACAAACCGGTATGCTCCATACCATGATGGTGCCCAAGCTCGAACGGTAGCTCGAGAATCAGCAAAGTACAGCATGACAAAAGCCGCGAACTGAGATGTCAGTGCAAAATCCATAGGCATGAGCAATGTTGGCCACGCTACTATAGGGGCCAGGACACCGAGTCCATACCGGAACCGCGTGCGGTCTCGGTCGGGTATCTTTTCGGTATACTCCATGCCCCAATGAACTGCGCCAAGGAAGCTGATTATGATGGCGCCATATCCTAATTGTATGGGCTCGATGACACTTAGTAATTGTCGAGCCGTATCATGGCTGATGAGGATATTATTTAGGAAATTGGATGTAGTCGGCCACACAGTATTCAAGTCCCATGAAAGATAAACGGTAGAGAGAGACGTGGCGAGATACGGCAAGGTGCCCGCAAGACCGAGGAAATAGGGCTCTTTTGGAACGCTCGAAAGGTCAAAAGTATCCTTGACAGTTTTCTATATGAAATACATTAGTAGATAAACCTAATCGACTGAACTGTTTAGAGTTCTTACCAAATCGTCCCTGACGCCATGCCTAATGGGTTTCTGTGCTCTTTGATTATCGGGCTCATATAAATGACGAACACTCGACTCCGTGGTTACTATTTCTGGATTCGACTCAAGCTTGCGCTGGCCAAATTTTCTCTCTTCTTCTGGATCTCTTCCCTGTTGGAAGCCGCTCGGTGTCTTGGTGACATACTGAGCTTTTTGTATTGGTGCGATGATGCGGAAAATAGGCGCTCTTGGGTATATTGAACTGGACTTAGTAGCTGTAAATGTCGTCCAGTTTTGTGATCTTAATGATAAGGAGACTGGGTGTTTTGGCGAAACAATTGCTCTGGATGAGCTTGTTAAAAAGGACTGCGTGCTTCGTAGCATTGTCATTAGCTGTTACAAGTTTGATCCTCTCTCACTGGTATATATGCCATGTAAACGAAGTAGGGAGAAGCACTAATACTCTTAGGAGAACTTAAACTATCTTGGGGAAAATAAAGTAGTTATTAAAAATGGACATCATAGAATCACTACCCCAAGACGGGAATAATTGATGCAATTACATCGTCAGACGGGACAGACGTCTTGTTCCTGATCGAGCTTGCTGAGCTCAATGACGTAATGAACTAAATGTGTATCGCTTTAGTACGAAGTGAGATACATATTAGGTACATCATGTGGGCACTACCCCTCGATCTGTGGCTGAAGGCTGAATGCTTAGGTAGGTACCTACGGATTACCTAGGCACCTAAATTTCTAGCAGCGGCCACTAGGTAGGTAGGTACGGATAGCCCACTATTAATTCTAAAACTGTAGAGCACGATTGGTTAGAACTCCAAGTCTTCCTTAGCGTCAGATGGGGGGTAGTAGTAGCCGTATATATACAGTATATATACGGCTCTCAGGTATGAGCCGCTCCCAAATGTTAGGGAAAAACGTGAAGCTCACCAAATTTAGCCGCAAAAGTAGTAAGAGCCAATTAATATTTTTTGAGTGGTACAACTGGTGCGCCGCTCTTGCACTGTGAGCCACTCGACCAATGAGCGGCCGTTGCGCCGCTCGCATCTCTGCGCTGCTCCCGTTTTGAGCGGCTCCACGTGCACCGCTCCGGGTAAGTGCATATATATGTAAAAATTAAAAGGTATATTCCCATACATTTTTGTATGGGAATCTACTTATATGTATTGCAATTAAGATTACGGGCTACAAGTCACAGGTTACGGGTTACGGCATACGATTGATTTAATTGGAAGGTTACGTGTTTTTCAAATAGACTAGGTAGGTACGTTACATATTACGGACACGTGTGTGGATTTGTAATTATGGGGTATATACTGGTCTGTGCGGACAAGGTTATGTAATAATACCCTATACGTACCGCTTAATATAGGGAGCGGTGCAAAAACGGGAGCGGCGCAAAGATGCGAGCGGCGCAACGGCCGCTCATTGGTCGGAACCGTAAATATACGGCTTATTTTGGCCTAGCGCTCCAAAAAATTAGCGCGTTTAAACTTTAAGCGGTAATATTACCACTTAAATATTTGAGTCACTTATTCTTTTAAACGTTAAGATTAAGAGCCGCTTTTTGCATTGAGTGGGATAAGTACGGCTATCATTTAATAAACGGTATATATGCGGCTACTGCTACCCCCCTTATGACGGTAAGGTTTATTTCGAGGGGTTGGTCAAGCCACAACTTGAACCAACAACAGCGTCATCAATCCTGCAAAATAGGCACCAAGTTATTTCAGTCGCAAGGTTAGCTAATGAGAATTGGCGATATTCTGTTGCTTACTCGTCTGTCTACTTCCTACTTCGTAAAGGTTCCTTAAGGTCTCTATTTCTTGATTTCAGAGCTTACAACCCTTTTTGAGAGCTTCTCGTTTACGGCGCACCACCCACATATCCCATATATTCCAATCGTATGTCTACAATAGGTACCTACCAATATTTCCGTATCCTCCTCTATCCGGTTCAGGAACCGTCGACCAGCTTGCTACCCAATCTACGCTAATCTAGGTATCTTGGGTACCTACAAATCTATCTACCTACATGTAGCTGGTCCCGTGTAAATCCAACTCTTTTCTCACATCTTCCCCCCGAACTCAATAAGCATTGCTGCTCACGGCGCGCGTGTTCTATATTCTGCTTCCAGCCTAGCGACTTAGCGATACCCCACTACGAATCTATGAATTTACGATAGCCGACGGTTCATCTTCCTACCTTATACCACTATCGAAGTACTAACGTCTTCCAATTCGTCTTCCAATTCGATTGCTAAGTTAAATCCGTCGCAAGACGATACTTTCGTCCAACGAGGCTCCTCGTATTAATTCCAACTCGTCCAACTTAATCGTATTTCCCCAGATGAAGTGACCTTATACCCACCGTTAATCCACGAAGTTGCCCCGCCCGGGTTACGGCGCAATACAGTCAGGATGCTGGAGGGCTTGGTCGCTGGGTTGCTTAACCGTTTCCTGGGTATGTATGTCAAAAATTTCGACCCTACCCAGTTGAAAGTCGGTATATGGTCTGGCGATGTGAAGCTGCGCAACTTGGAGCTCCGTAAGGAGGCTCTCGACCAGTTGAAGCTTCCCATCAACGTGATGGAGGGTCATTTAGGAGAGCTGACCCTCGTCATACCTTGGTCAAACTTGCGAGGGGCGCCGGTTAAAGTCTTTATCGAAGACGTTTTCCTGCTTGCGTCTCCAAAGGAAGAAGCGGCCTACGATGAAGAAGAAGAAGAACGCAGGCGGCAGCGATTAAAGATGGAAAAATTGGACTCTGCTGAGCTTTTGAAAGAAAGGTCGCAGGAAGGACTCAGTCAGGAGGAGCAGAAGAAGAGCCAGAGTTTTACAGAGAGCTTAGTCACTAAGATTGTCGACAATCTGCAGGTCACAGTCAAAAATATTCATGTGAGGTACGAGGACTCTATATCAGCCCCAGGACATCCGTTTGCCCTAGGTGTCACTCTTGGTGAATTCAGTGCTGTCAGTACGGACGGCGAATGGCAGCCTACCTTTATCCAGAATTCAACTAAGACCACACACAAGCTAGCGACCCTCGGGGCGCTGGCAATCTACTGGAACACAGACACTACCCTGCTAGGTCCAGGCCGTGAAATGGAAAGGGGAGATGAGCATGTGCCCCACGAAGACATGATCAAGAGCTTCAAGGAGATGATAGGAAAAGGAGACAATATCACCCCACCGGCAGAGCATCAATTTATCTTAAAGCCAGTAAGCGGCCAGGCCAAGATCGAGCTTGACAAAACGGGCGATGTACATGTGCCAAAGTTCAAAGCGAGCTTGCTCTTCGATGAAATCGGTGTTGTTCTCGACGATGATCAATATCGAGATGGCTTAATGATGGTTGACCTTTTTCATTACTTTATTCGCCACCAGGAATACAAGAAGCTTCAACCTAAGGGGGTGACACCGAAGGAAGATCCTCGTGCCTGGCTTAAGTTTGCCGGGAACGCAGTACTCACTAAAATCCACGAGAGGAACCGTAGATGGACATGGGATTACTTTCGTGAACGTCGTGATGACCGTCGTCTATACATTGAACTTTTCAAGAAAAAGAAGGCAAATCAGCAACTATCGCCACAGGAAATTGACGACATTAATAAGCTTGAGTGGAAGCTTGGTTATGAAGACTTGCGATTCTGGAGATCATTAGCGCGCAATCAACTACGAAAGGAGAACGCAGAAGCTCTCAGGAAAGCACCATCTAATGAACCGCAACAACAAGGATGGTTAGCTTGGGCGTGGGGTTCGAAGCCATCCGAGCCCACCGACTCAACGGAGGAAAATACTCAGATGACCGAGGAGCAGCGCAAAGAGCTCTACGAGGCGATCGACTGGGACGAGAAAACCGCTCTGGCTGAGGCTGTAGACATGCCACGTGACATCATTAAAATGCAAGTTGATGCATCTCTTAGTACCGGCAGTTTTACTCTGAGACAAAATCCCCATGGAAATACGACCGATTTGCTAAGTCTGCATTTTGATGTCTTCAAAGCGAAAGCGTTTCAAAGGCCCGACTCCGTCCTTGCTGATATTAGCCTTGGTGGTTTCCGAGTCAATGACGGTACTACCCCAGAGAGTTTATTCAAGGAGATTGTTCGGGTTAAGGATGCTCCAGATACGAAGAGCAAGAGACGGCTTTCCATCGCCGAACTCGAGAAGTCTGAACAGGAGACCTTCTTTGACCTGCAGGTTGAGCAGAATCCCCTTGATGGGAAGAGCGACTTCGCAGTCACGGCGAAGCTCAAGCCACTAGAGATCGTGTGGAACCCCAACTTCGTTGTGGGTGTTGTTGACTTCTTCAAGCCACCTGAGAGGCACATGGAATCCATAACGGCATTGATGGAGACTGCTGGGGCTACTGTTGAAGGGTTGAGACAGCAGACGCGTGCCGGCCTTGAGTTCGCTCTTGAGGAGCATAAGACTATCAATGCTAAGCTAGACCTTCAGGCCCCCCTTATCATAATTCCCCAGTCTATCAAGACAGCGCGATCTACATGTCTCATTCTAGACGCTGGTCATATTAGCGTAAATAGTGAGCTAGTCGACAAAGGGACTTTGAAGCAGATACAGGACAAGCACAACCAGCAGTTCTCCGATGAAGACTTCAAACAACTCGAGTCTCTCATGTATGACCGCTTCTTAGTTAAACTAACATCAACACAGGTCCTAATTGGACCTTCTATCGACGAGACGAAGTCCCAGTTAGTCGATAAGGATGATAGTCGGATGCTTCATATCGTGGAGAAGATCAATGTCGACTTCGTAGTAGCCCTATCGATATTGCCAAAGGCGCCTAACCTGACAAAGGTCAAGGTATCAGGTCACATGCCTGTACTTCAGGCAATGGCTTCTGATACTAAATATAAGAGTCTGATGAAGTTAATTGATGTCGCTATACCAAAATTTGACGAGGAGCAGCAGCAAGTCAGAACCGAAGGCCAGTTTAAAAGACCACGTCTACTCAGTTCCGCGTCGAGCCGTTTGCCAAAATCACACGACCACAAGGCTTCATCCAATCTATTCCTCACTCAACAAACTGCTGTGATTCTGGAAGACGAGTCAGACGACGACTCGGATGAATTCGAGGATGCTGCGGATGGAAGTTCAAATCAGCGGCTTAAGACGCAGCAACGCAACTTTGAATTCAAATTCGCTGTTGACAAGTTACAAGGCTCTCTTTATCGCAGTGACCCCGATGGGGTGCGACCCGAGTCCCTACTTGTAGAACTAATCGCGGAGAACTTTGATCTTAATTTCTACATTAGGTCTTACGATATGGCAGCAGAGGTATCCCTAGGCTCCGTGTCGGTGGATGACTTCGTCGACAATCCTCCGGCAGAGTTCAAATCTATTGTGTCGTCTGGTGATATTGAGGACCGCCAGCAACAGAGAGACCTCGTTCGTGTAAAGTTCACCAGAGTCAAGAGGGAATCTCCAGAGTTCATGCCAGTGTACGATGGAATAGAGACAAATGTCAACGTCGCGGTCTCCACAATTAACTTGGTTGTGACGAGGAAGACCTTGCTCACGCTATTGGACTTCGTGCTCACTACATTTACTAATAATAGCAGCTCAAATTCTCAGCAGCAGAGAAATATTAGAGACATAGATGAAGAAGACACGGTTGAAGTCGTTGAGCCGGCCGTTAATTCCCAGCAGAACGAGGGCGGTTCTATCCGCGTCAAGGTTGATCTCAAGAGTATTCGCATGATTTTGAACAACGATGGAATTCGATTGGCAACACTCTCGTTCAACCACGCCGACGTTGGGGTTTTCCTTCTAGGTAGAACAATGAGAGTAGCGGCCAAGTTAGGCGATTTAACGCTAGTAGATGATGTTAATATTGGCGCGTCAGAAAATTCGAGCTTCCGCCAACTCGTCACGATCCAAGGGGACGAGCTCGCTGATTTCCGCTATGAGACATATGATCCAAGCAATGGAAAAGCTTACCCAGGATATGATTCGTCTATCTATCTACGTGCTGGGTCTATCAAGGTTAATTTCCTTGAGGAGCCGTTCAGAAAGATTATCGAATTCTTGGTCAAGTTTGGCAAAATGCAGGCCATCTTTAATGCTGCTCGCCAAGCAGCTGCTAACCAAGCCCAGCAACTCCAGCAAAGCACCAGCAGGTTCAAATTTGATGTCATAGTCAACACCCCCATCATCGTGTTCCCCCGCGCTCTCTCGCCGGATCGGCCAAAACGAGATCTAATCACTGCTTATCTGGGTGAGATATACGCCCAGAATAAGTTCGCGCCATTAGATGATACGGAAGACTCGGAAATCGCTATGAAGCTCTCCGCGGGTATTAGAAACATTAGATTAACGTCTCTATTCCATTACCCCAACGAGCAGTCTGAAGAACTTGAAATGATTGACCACGTGGATCTTGGCTTTAATATCACCTACGCCGAACATAAGGAGGGATGGAAGCGGCCAGATATGGAGATTGAAGGCAGCATGACCGACTTCAACCTGAGGATTACCCAATACCAGCTCAACTTCCTCTTAGGCATTTCCAGATCCATACCAGCAGCCTTCGCAACAGATGCCAATGCTAGAGGAGAGGAAGCTGAGCGAGATGTTGACGAAGATACATTGCGACGAGCTAAAACGATGTCATCTACTGCCAGCAGGTCTGAAGACAAGTTAATTGACCTTTCTCCAGAATTAGGCTCGAGAGAAGACGTCTGGACAAAGCTTGACCTCGTATTTAATATACACGAAATCGGTCTTGAGCTAATCAATGCCCACGAACACCAACCTGTGGGCGACATGGACAACGCTAGTCTATCACGATTCTCCCTGGATGACAGCAGGTTGAAGACCCGAATGCTAGCAGACAGCTCACTAGAGGCAGAATTTGTAATTCAGTCATTTACCATACACGATAGTCGTTCCCGAGAGGGTAGTAAGTATAGGAGAATCATGGCATCTTCTAACAAGACGGTCCAACAATTCATGGCGAGCGTATCTATGTCTGGGGGCGATGAGCGCAATCTAATCGCTGTGATCGCCATCGACAGTCCTAGAATCATCTTCGCTTTGGATTACCTTTTTGCAATTCAAAAGTTCGTCATGACTGGCTTGCAAGCTGATGAACCCCCACCAGCTGCCTTAGAAAGTCCTGGAGAAACCCCCGATATTTCTGACGCCGAGTCAATGCAAGTACAATGGGCAGGGGGGTCGTCACAAAAAAGCACCAAAGGACCCCAGCCAGAGCAGGTGGCTAAGAAGAACGAGAATTCTAAGCTTAACATTGCCTTCCGTGTTAATATTGTTGACTCGCAAGTCATACTAATAGCCAACCCCCTAAGCTCTAGCTCAGAAGCAATTGTTCTAAGCACGAAACAGGTGTTACTTTCACAACAACATTCAATGACTTTCCAAGTCGCCCAAGTTGGAATGTTTCTCTGCCGCATGGATAAATTCGATGAGACTCGACTTCGTATCCTCGACAACTTCTCGATCCAGGTATCAATGGACAATTCACGGGCGGACTATACAAACATCCATGTTGATATTGATCCGCTAATTCTCCGGCTTTCACTTCGAGACATCCTCCTTGTCCTCCAGATTATTAGCAAGGCATCTGAGCTTTCCGAAAAGGATGATAGCGAGCCTAAGAGCGGTGCATCTAACAAGAAAGTAAAGCAACTGGGACAAGCCGGCCTTAAAGAGCGTACAGCGAGTGGTCGGGGGCACTCTGCTATTGCTACTAGGAATAAAACAGCGAAAAATTCCGGTACGATAGTCGCTAAGAAATCCGGAAAGGACCAATCCCACCAACCCCACGATATTAGCACAGCTCCTAAGCGCCATGAGGAACTTACTGCTGCAATTGATGGAATTCGTGTTGTACTGATTGGTGATGTTCACGAATTGCCGATCCTAGATCTAAGCATCAATAAATTCAAAGCATCATCAACGGACTGGTCTAGTAATCTCAAAGCTGAGACCGCGATTGATATGTATATCAACGTCTACAATTTCGCAAAGTCTGCTTGGGAGCCACTCTTGGAACCCTGGCAAGTAGGTCTTGGCGTTGCGAAACAGCAGGAGACCGGCCTCTTCTCAGTTGACGTCTCATCGAAAAGAACATTTGATGTTACGGTCACAACTGCAACAATCGCCTTGGCGTCTAAGTCATTCGACTTTTTGACTAAAGATGAAGATGTGTTAGGCAAACCCCGTGGAGTAGAGGCTCCCTACAAGATCCGAAACTATACCGGCTTCGACGTCTCAGTGCAGGCTAGAAGCCAGAGCAGCGATGAGAACATCTCCCTCAAATTGCAAGACGGCGAAGAAGGCCCATGGAGCTTCGAACATTGGGAAAAGATGCGAGAAAATATCATGTCAGAGAGCAATGTGGCGAGCAGCGTTGCGGTTGAAATTGAAGGCAGCGGTTTTGATATAGTTAAGAACATCCGTCTTAGCCGTGAAGGCGAGTTCCTTTATAGCTTACGACCTAAAACGGATGACACCCTCCATCGGCTACTCGTTGAAGTAAAACTTGGCTCAGACAATATCAAATATGTCACGCTTCGCTCCCCCCTCGTGGTGACAAACGAGACACAGATACCAGTTGAATTAGGTGTGTACGATGTCCAAGAAGGCCATCTGCTTAAGATCGAGAAGATTGCACCAGGAGAAAGCCGACCGGCTCCGGTAGCTGCCGCCTATGTCAAATCCTTATTGATACGGCCAGATTCGGGCTTTGGTTACGCATGGTCATCCGAACATTTATGGTGGAGAGATCTACTCAAGAGACCCACGCGTACACTCATGTGCAAAGGCGACAACAGTGATACATTCTTTTTCCAACTCAGCGCGAACTTCGACCGAGGCCACTTCCTCACCGGGTGAGTTTCTCGCAAATATAATGCATTTTGCGACGCTAACGTTTACAGGAAATACCCGTACATGAGCTTAAAGCTCTCCCCTCCAGTAGTCTTAGAGAACCTTCTTCCTTACGATTTCAAATACCGCATTTACGACAAAAATACAAAACGAGATTGGACAAACTTCCTAAGGAAGGGTGGTGTTAGTCCGGTCCACGTAGTAGAGCTGTCTCATCTTCTCTTACTGAGCATCAACATGCAAGATACCAAATTCAAGTCTAGCGAATTTGCTATTATCAATTCTGGCGCACAAGAAGACTTTCGTAAAGAACATAAACTAATATGCAAGGATAGCGAAGACCTCTCTCTCTACCTTAGGCTTCATTATTTCAAGATCCCAGATGGGGGCGGTGCTTTCAAGGTTACCGTGTACAGTCCTTATGTCGTACTCAACAAGACTGGTTTGGAGGTTGAAATCCGCAGCAAGCAGTTCTTGCAGCAGCCAAAGAGGGCTGCGGGTCAGTCAGCCATAGCAGATACCTCAGATCAAGAGCGACCAAAAGCTTTACCGTTCATGTTCTCGTATGCCAATGACGACCAACGCAACCGAGCCCTCCTCAAAATAGGCGACTCGGATTGGAGTAAACCGCAGAGTTTCGATGCTATCGGGAGCACAACAGAAATTGTTTTACCATCGTCGAAAAAGGATTCCGAAATCCACGTTGGTGTCACTGTGGAGCCCGGTGAGGGTAAATACAAGTTGACAAAAGTCGTCACTCTAGCACCGCGCTTCGTGATCAAAAACAAGATCGGCGAAGAGCTCGTTATCAGAGAGCCAACTTCGTCGAAGACTATGACCCTGAATCCTGGGGGTCTGCAGCCTCTTCACTGGCTTCAAAGATCGGCTACAAAACAAATAGTTATGAGATTCCCAGGGATCGACGATCAGTGGACATCACCGATCAACATATCGGATTTGGGTACTGTGCATATCAAAATCGCAAGAGCTGGGCAGCGACAACGCCTCATTCGAGTTGAAGTTTTGATGGAGGATGCGACGATCTTCCTCCACCTTAGCATGGAGACAAAGAATTGGCCCTTTTCCATGCGAAATGAAAGTGACATTGAGTTCACTTTCTATCAAGCAAACCCGAATATAGACGAGGATGGAGTTGAGGATCGCTCCGGGTGGAGGCCGGTTAGATACCGCTTGCCACCACGTAGCATTATGCCCTATGCTTGGGACTTCCCAGCCGCCAAGTTCAAGGAAGTGGTAATCAGCGCATTTGGTAAAGAACGTCACGTAAAGCTAGCGGAAATTGGCAATCAGATCCCAATGAAATTCGTCGACGGTTCCGGTACCCAAAAGATCATCGACATCACTGTTGCTGCCGATGGACCAACTCAGACGCTTATTTTGTCTAATTTCAAGCCAAGCAAGAGCCTTTACCGCCAGAGGACACAGATGGGCTCGAGCAACAGTGCCGGTGGCTTTGAAGTCAAGAGCCAGGATACTGACACAACGTTCCAGGCACAGTTGAAGCTTTCTGGAGTTGGTATCTCGCTTATCAATCAACAGTTGAAGGAATTGGCATACATAACATTCAGAGACATCAACCTTCGTTATAGTGAATCGGCTCTCTACCAGACCGTCAGTACTTCCGTTAAATGGATACAGATTGATAACCAGCTATACGGCGGTCTCTTCCCAATGATACTCTACCCTAGTGTAGTCCCAAAGCAAGCACGGGAGACTGAGCTGCACCCTTCATTACATGCCATGGTTACAAGAGTCAAGGACGACTCGTATGGCGTTCTATACGTCAAATACGCCACAGTACTACTTCAGCAGATGACCATTGATCTCGATGAGGATTTCATCTATGCCGTTCTAGATTTCTCCAAGATCCCTGGAGCCTCCTGGTCTGAAACGAATGAGGGTAAGCTCTGCGATGAAGGCCTAGATATTCCTGAGCCGAAGCAAGAACAGTCAGGTCAGGACATTTACTTTGAAGTCCTAAACATACAGCCGATGCAATTAGATTTGTCTTTCATGCGTACCGAACGCGTTAACGTAGAGGACAAGACCTCCTCTCGGAATCCTATCATGTTTTTCGTCAACGTGATGACCATGGCCATCGGGAATGTCAATGATGCTCCGATCCGGTTGAATGCATTATTATTAGAAAATGCTCGAGTCTCCATTCCCGTTTTGACACAGAACATCTCCAATCACTACAGCCAAGAAGTTCTATACCAGGTCCATAAGATCATCGGCAGTGCTGACTTCCTCGGCAACCCCGTCGGTTTATTCAACAGTATCAGTAGCGGTATAACCGACGTCTTCTACGAGCCGTACCAAGGGCTTATCATGTCTGATAAGCCCGAAGACCTAGGTCTAGGAATTGCAAAGGGAGCCGCTAGCTTTGTCAAAAAGTCCGTCTACGGTTTCTCTGATTCCTTTTCCAAAGTCACTGGAAGCTTTGGCAAGGGCCTAGCTGCCGCGACTCTCGACAAGCAATTCCAAGATCGCCGGCGTATTACGCGAGCTCGCAACCGGCCCAAGCATGCCTTATTCGGTGTTACCGCTGGTGCAAACTCCTTTTTCACCTCGATTGCGTCCGGCATCGGCGGCGTTGCCCGGAAACCTCTTGAAGGCGCGGAACAGGAAGGGGCCGTTGGTTTCTTTAAAGGTGTTGGGAAAGGCTTCATTGGTCTCGCAACTAAGCCTGCCGTCGGAGTGTTCGACCTCGCGTCCAACGTGTCCGAAGGTATTCGCAATACCACAACCGTCTTCGACGGTTCTGAGCTCGACCGCGTCCGCCTGACGCGGTTTATACCCGCGGATGGTATCGTCCGTCCTTACAATCAGCGCGAAGCCTTAGGACAGTCCTGGCTCAAGCAGGTAGACAACGGGAAATATTTCAACGAGAACTACATCGCACACTTGGAACTACCCAGAGAAGACATGGTGGTCATGGTCACGTTCAGCCGAATTCTTCTCATTAGAAGCCGGAGACTTACTACCGAATGGGATATACCGCTAAAGGACGTGCAGACAATCGCGAAGGAACGCACAGGCCTCAGCATCGTGTTGCGCGGCGGTACTAACGGGCCGTTTATCCCTGTCGGTGAAGAGAGCGGACGGGCCTTCTTGTACCGAATGGTAGCCGTAGCTGTAGAAGAATTCAATCGTAGATTCAGGGGCTTGGAGTGAGAAAGCCCTTGCTAGTGGATGGATGGCGGAAAGGGAAATTAGGAGGGAAGAACCCGAGGAGGTAAATTTAAAAGGCAGTGCACGGATTAATGAGTGCTCTAGGTTTGGAAGTTGGGCAAGAGGTCCTGGCGTATGAGCCTTTTTCATGTATCTTCTAGAACATGACATATTACGACTTTAAGCAAGCTCTTCATCAGAAATCCTCTTTCACATATAAGGCCGAAGCTAAAATCTGGCGGCATTCTACGTATTCCAAAGTCCTACAACAGCGACGTTCTGAATTCACGCAGGCGTCATGCTAACCCAACATCCGTACAGCATGGAAGTGTTAACGCCGAACTTTTGGATAGGCGGCCTGTCATCTTTCCGCTCGATCTTCTTGAAGGCCTGTAAGAGCCGAAACGTAACAAACGCTATCTGGGTCAAGGCAAATTGTTGCCCGATACAAATTCGTGGACCAGCGTTAAACGGGATATATTCGAAACTGCAAAATGTTAGAATTAATAAGGCTAGAAACTGGACGAGTAATATAGAGACACGGCTCATTAAAATGCATACGTAGTTCTCAGAGTCTCCCAGCGTTCGGGACGAAACTCGTCGGCATCAGCACCGTAGATATCCTGCCGCCTGTGTAGAGCCCAAGGTAAATATCTAAGTATCGTACCCTTGGTTACAAAGATGGGCGACTTTCCGTCAGGTCCGCCGCCGGTAGGTAAAATGGTGTCGCGTACGGCTTCGCGGGCGTTGGCCGCCACGGGTGGGCTAAGTCGTAGAGCTTCTTTGACGGCCCAGTTCAGGTACTTCATGGCTCTTAGGCTTTCCCAAGCCGGAAGCTGACTTGGGTCGTCCATTTTTAGGTCTTCCATCTCTTGCTGGATTGCAGCAACCACGTTCGGCTGTCGCGAAAGCTCGAAAAATAGGTATGACAATATACTCGTTGTAGTATCCCTACCAGCCGTGAATATGCTCATAAGATGGTCACGAATGACTTCATCCGATTCCCCGGTCCGAAGTAGCTCGTTAAGGAACATGTACCTCTTGCTCTCTCGTTCTTCCTCACTCTTCCCGCCTTGTTCACCCCTTACCTCTGCGACGTACTTTTCCACGTATGCATTCATAAATGTTGTACATTCATCTAACTCGCGGTCTCCAAGGAGCATTGATATCCATCCCAGTCGAGCCCGGTTAGCAACCTTCTGCATACACACGTCGAAGCAGCGACCGAATCTTAGACCATCCTCGGGCGCATTCCCCAGAATGTCAGTCGACCGTCCAAACATAAAGTCCGATATAATGTCAGTAGTCATCATGGAAAACATAGCCTGCAAGTCGAAGGGACTGCCGTCGCGCGGGATCGCTTGTATAAGTCTAGCAATGTGACGATCAAGGCATCGTAGATCAGCAACCTGATCACGGACAAAAGCCGGCCGCAGAGTTGTTCTCGCTCGCTTCCAAGCATCCCCATTAGATGTGAAAATCTTGATAAGGAAGCCGTGTTAGTTGAACATGGACACCGAAAGCATTTAGGCACGAAGCTTACAGAGTAGTGACCAAGGACGGGGAGAAATGCTTTAATACGTAGCCGAGGTAGGTCCCAGTCGTCGAACTGAGTACTAAGCACGGCACGCACGTTATCGGGTTCATCAGTCGCGATCGTGTCACCGGGACCTGGGAATATACGATGCTTGAACGTATGTCCTAGCGTATGGAAGAGTCCGCTCCAGGCCGCGAGCAACGTATTCGACTTTATGTGCTGCGCCGCATCCAGGAGGAAGCGTACCCCGAAAGGATCATTCGGGAATAGAGGCGGAGGCGAACACCCATTCCGCATCATTTCCACATAATACCGATGCGTCCCGCCCAAGGACATTTGCGTAAACCAACCTAGAAGCAACAATAGAACCGCAAGGGCCTGTTGTCCTATTGACAAGGCCCCGGGTCGCAGGTAGAGGACGTCGAGCGCCAGAGCTGCTGACAAGACCATTATAACAGCCGTCGCAACGAAGTAGCGCTGCTTGGCCTTCCTAGGAAGCGAGTTCATCTTGTCGGTTCCGCTTACAGAAGCCATTTCATAAATGTATTGCCTAATAGGATGCAAGCAAGAGCGAAAGGGGCATCTTCAACTTCATATATTGCATTAGTGAAAAGCCAGCGACAGTAACACCCGCGGTTGTGCAGACTAGAATTCTAATTAAATAAAGGCATGGCCTTGGCGGAGCAATGGCTATCCCTTTGACTGCCATTCAACTACACCTCCATTATTTTCAGTATTGGTACATACAGATTAGCCAGAAAAGAAAGAATGGCTCGTGTGGTACTAAATCGACCAATAATATTTGCGGTTTATGGTTTTAGAGACTAATCGTAAGACATTTTCCTATTAGTTATGTTAATGAATGACGTTAAGCCATACGTACTGTACTGAATTGCAAAGGGGGTGCCAGTCAAAGGGATACCTCATCTATCACATTTACACCACGGTGGCTTGCCCGCACGTACCCTAGCGTGTGACGCCCGACCACGAACGGGAAAGTTGCATTCCGCAGTAAGTATCCGCAAATGCGGTGATCCAATGACGTTATAGCAATGCCACCGTTGAATAAGTAGGTACCTTGTACGATATGCGAGAATAAGATACCGAATCGGTACTGCGTGAGAAAATAGGTTCTCATGCAACCAATGATGTTTGGAGGTTACCGCATCACATGTGAGAGATGCATCGTTACCCTAGACGGATACCTACCTTAATAGCCTACCATTAAGAGGTAGACAATTAATATAACACTGGATACAGCTCATTATTTTATAGATAACCCTTCCACTTTCGCCGGCCACGGGTGGTTTAATTATATCGTACGCAATTTTACACCAAGGTACCTTTCATTTAATTCATTTATCATCGTTTGAGTTTTTACCAAAATATTTCAACTATAATTAAAACAAGGTCTTATGGAGGTATTTAACGTAGTTGGGACTATAAGAAGTTTAAATAAATATATTAACTAATGATAAACAATAGTTTAACTTTCTGTAGTTAATGATGTTTAAAAGATGTACCTACTCTTATTATGCCTCGACTTAACTCAGTTGTATTTTATGACAATATACCTTTGGATACATAATAACGTTGTTTAACTTTTTTGATATTTTCGTTTTCGACTTAAATGTTTTTTAACCAACTATATTCTATATACCCAACTTACTTATGTTTCGTTTCTTTTAATCTCTATTATCAGAGTTCAATCATAGGATTGCGAATGAAGTATAAATAAGTCACCAGTTCAGTCTTATTGTTTATCACGTACGAGGGTGGTTAAGTTCTCGAGGAACTTTAAACCTGTTATGCCTTGTTTAACTATTTAATGTCTTAACTTCGTAGCTTTGAGGTTGCACGGTTAATAAGTCAACTCATGTGTTTATTCTCTTGAGTAACAGTAGATGTAGTTTATAGGTACCTACTTACAATAAGCTTAGTGGCATTTATTGTCATTAAAGGTACCTAACGTGTCCGTTTTACCTTTTCCCGCCATTAGTATAACTTCTATAAGTCTATACCTAACCTAAAAGCACCAGCCATTTCATAGCTCTGAATATTACAATAGCTTTCTCAATACAAGCTAGCAACTTTATACTTGATAGGAAAGAATCCCCCTTGGTAGCAGCCAGCCATCAGCCTTGACGTTAAATATGATGTTGCTGTTACATACTTCATAGATGATAATACTTTTATTGTTCCCGATTCTCCTCAAGTACTACTGGATTTAGTACTTTTAAGATGTCGAGCTTAATAATTTTAAAGATGAAAGACAATGTCTTCTCTTTTAACTCAATACGAGTAGCTCCCGCATGTATTTGGCTTGCCTGCTTTGTTTACTGACCCCGTGATATTATCTGCTACCCGCTTTTCTTCGATTATAAAGTCTTGACGACCTTAGTTAGTATGTGGCTGCTTTAAGAGACGAATTAAATGAAGCAAAACCCTACCTAGTTATTTCAATACCAATTGGTATGAATAATAGCTACAAATAGGTAAATAGGACTAGCTACTCCTAATACTTATGTCTCTTGACGCGCTTGGTCTTACATACACCTGGAGCAAATATTATTTTGGACTACTCTAGAATTTGTTTAAGGACTAAAGTACGGGAACTAATTCATTTATGCTGTAAGTAGGTCATAACTTACCTATGCTTGAACATAATTAACTGTATAGCTTCGTTTCCGATTAAGTTGATTTCCAACTCATCAACTGAAGCTCTTCGCCCAAATTGTGAACGTCCACAAACCCTTGTGAGGCCCACAAAGCCCCCCGGGCGTCGATGGCGTCGATGACGTCGATGAAGGCTGGAAGGTAGAGGCGATGATAGGGTTAAAACTACGTCGCCGTGCTTCTAATCTTACCAAGGAGTACCCGTTAATAGCTTGAATAGGCTAGTAATGCGGCGACGAATAATAGTTATCCATAATAAAAACTGGACTAGAGGCTTCCAGTCGGATATCGAGATACTCGCCATGCCGGGTTCCATTATGCCGCCTGGATGCAACGCGGCTTGGCAGCTCAGCCGGGATCCGCTATGACGAAATGTCTTTTAAAGCCTGCTTGTCGTATGCGCGAAAAAATGGTACAACTTTGTCGAGAAATTTCTAGAGTTCCGAGAAAATCACGCGTGTCCGCGTCTCTTTACACTAGTTCTATATTCTAGTGTAAACGCCGAATAAACAGTTTGGTTGCACGATATTCAAATGATGGAAAAGTGACGGTATCTAGCAGGCCATATGTCAGCTCAGCACATGATATAGATCCTAGCGGTGCTGTGGCACAGGATCTGGTCTTAGGACAGCCTCAAGCCAAGCTGGCGGCCGATCAGTTGACCCTCCTTCTCGCCGAATGAACCCTACGTAATAGCAACAACTGGAATAAGGTTGCTAAATATCTCTCGGTCGTATTCGCGACACCTGACGGAATATTTCGTCAAATCTTACCGTGAAATATTGTACTGCTACGGAGTTTTTACTGAAATTCAAGAATTAGGTAGATAGGATAATAATCCGTAGTTATGTTACTCTATTCAGACTGGAATGGTAACCCGACGATTACTAGGTAGGCCCAGCTGGCCCAGTAAGGCATTCTAGGGTATTTGCAGTAGCACTTATTACATGGGAACACATAGGATACACAGGGGATACACAACACTTAGGTACACATCACCCAGCATTTGCGTTGTACATACGTGGGCAGTTGTAAACGAGCCAACAACGCAGATTTATATATATCTGACGGTTAGACCGTTATTGATACGGCAGTCAGAAATAGTGGTCGGTACAAGGATGAAGCGCTGCATATCGATGAATAGACATTTGCTCTTGCGAATCGCAAATTCCCATGCATAACATCCATACATCCATTCATATCTACGGACGAGCATGTGCAGAGATCGCCCACTAATGGGTTTGGTCAGCCCTGGGAACCCCTCAAATTGCAACCCTTGTTAGTTGGTCTCTACTACGTACGGATGGGGTAGGTATTAGCATTCTTGGGGGTCCAAATTCACCCCGCTTTTGATCTCTCGAGATTAGGTAGGTTCGAATCGTATGGTTCACGAGCACTGGAGTTAAGCTTGTTTGTTGAGTGAAGCGAGGTGTGTATCGAGTTTTGATCTACTATGTATTTGGCAGGAGGACATCGATAAGCGAAGGGTGAGAGTTTGTAGAAGCCAATAGCAGCTATTGTTCGGGGCGGAGTGGTGCGGCCTTAGACATACAGACAGACATATCATATCTGCTTACTTGACCCCTGTACCCCGGAGAAGATCATTAGATTGGATAGGGTTGCACTAGCAGCCCGACCTGCTTGGCAGTTTTGCAAATGGAGCACAGTCCGCGAAGTTCTTACATACCAGACACACCTACACACGTGGTACGGCATTGCTGCTAGAGGCTCTTAAATTTTTATAATAAAATGCTGACAATTAGTATCAGCATCACTCAGCTGCCGGGCATGTAAGAGTGTCGGTCAAGGTAAAAAAAATATCTTGGACTGTATAGTTCTCACGTTCGCGCTACGTTCCAACGTACTAATTAATACGTGATGATCGAGAACTTCGGGATGAAGGGACCGGGGCCGAGACATAAAAACTTACAGGGTCCAAAGTCCGAAAGCGCACTGGACCGTGCCAAACGCAAACAATAGTAACATACATAGCCCTTGATATGGTTTCAGAGTAAGGTCCAACCTCCTAGAGACTCTTCTAGATTAGAATTGGCGGGTAGTAGAAGTCTACTATTGTAGGTCAGATCACGCCAGCCTTTCTACCGGTTGCGAATACATAGATATATATGATACACATCTTTTAAAGAGGCACATTGACAGGGCCGATCTCTGTCGATCAGCTCGCCGATGATTGACTTGCAGCTCATCTCGACCGGTCCAGACTTGACCGGGATTTGCTTTGATATGGTTCTGCTATGTGCTGGCTTTCCCAATGGGAGCACACAATCGAATTGCGGCCGCGGCCTATGTTAGCGAAGCTGACAAGCAGACCAGCCTGCTTAACCGGTTGGGCCAGGTAAGCTTCATGTCTACAGGCTGATGAAGTTTTCAAGTCCGTAAGATAGACCGAGTTGAGGCCGCATATTGTAGTGCGTACAGTTTTCTACGGTACTGTTATGGAATTGCTACCTAACGGTAACTGGATGGAATATATTAGGTACCCTGCAAGGATGGCTGAATTGTTGCTAACCCCCGTGGAATCCACCCCCTCGTGGGGTTTGAAGTTGTTAGAGCCCTGGACCCTGTCCCTGTCTATCGAGTTTGATAGCTTCTAAATACATAGCAGAGCTTGAATAGAGCCAGCATCAAGGTGCCATCGGGATCGGCCATTTTCATCATCAGTTGTGTGTGAGCCTCAAAAAGAAGCATGCTATCTGCCTTAGTATCGCCGACGCGACAAAAAGCAGGCTTCACACTGCGAAGCCACAAATGCTTCCGTCATCTATAGAAACTCGTCGTTGCTGTCTTACTCTATTATTTGTTGCACAGGTGTTTCTAACCTCGCTAAGTAACCAATCGACATTAATAACAATAGCCATCTTTAGAGCTTCCCCTCTTTGTTTGAATGCCTTAATACATAGTCCCTTAGCCCCTGAATAATGAAGTGTTAGTTATTCAAGTTTTCAACTACGGCACTCTTTTTTTAACCGACCCTAGTTAGGTATTCCGTTACTTTTGGGTTAAGAGGTATCTACATGTGAAGACTTCGGTTTCTGCCAAATGGCTGGCGAGACTTGCACAGTATTTACTTCTTCGATAAGCAACTACCTAGGTAGATTAGTATCTTACAACCGAGCCGCCACCAATGTCGATGATGCCTCTCACAGCATGCGATCATCGCGTTAATTGCCTTTTCAAATTATCAAACGAGAATTATAAATTTGCCAAGCTATCATCGTCATCATCATCGTTATCATTGTCAGGCACATACATACTTCGCTAGAATATAGGTACTTTAGGTACCTAAAATATCCTGGAATTGCTTTCATAGAGTTTTTCTCGGAACGGTCTTCAGAAGACCGGGAGTGTTCGTCCATGTATCGAGCATTAACCATGTGTTGTTGTGGGTCTCTTCTCCGCGGGACCGAGCATTTTGCCTTCATTTCGGTCGCTTACATCTTGAACCCCACAAAACTCCTAGGCTTGAGAGGCGAAATACATCACATTGAAGTATACACCCCCCAACAACTTGAATAGCTTCTTTTCCTAAAATTACTCGGGTTTAGTAGGGTTCCTGGTGACCAACTCTTGGCTCTTGGGTGTCTCGAATACATAATAAGCCACGGATTCCACCAACTATCTAAGACTTAATTCTTTATATATGTATTTTCAGTAAGACCGATATATGCCTCTATCTTTGTTAAGAATCATTGGCTTAACTATAGTGCCTTCATATTATCCATTAGTAGACCTGTCCCTTTCCCTGAACCTAGCCAGCAAAATACACTATTGGTGGCTTAAAAACTCAAACGAGACGATATACGTATTAAGGAACCATTCCGTCTAGTTACCGTATCACGTGGTCACGTATTTAACCGTTTACACCGTATTGGATTTCCTATTCCGGAAATCCCCGCCTCGGTGGTACCGTTTCCTCTCCTTTTTCCCTACTAGCCAGCCACCCAACAATTCTTAGGTATTATTACGGGCTTGAAACCTGTGTTATATATTATTACTACTTCCTCCCGATTCTATTCTTGTCCCTATACCCACCTCTCTTCCAATAATCATAGACTCGGCTTTCCGCTCTTGGAACGGCGTTGGGATCATAAATACACAAAAGGTAGCCTGGCGCAGCCTATCTTCACTTACAATAAACAACATCGACACGCGACATTATACCGAGGAATACATACAAGAATACGAACAAGCTCTCTCATCTCACCAATCACAATCCCGACGCCTCTATATTTCGATTCCGGCTGCTTATCACGCATCTACTACGCGCCCCGAGCAACATTTTACAATCCCGCGCGAAGCTTTCATCGCTCATGTCGCGACGTAATTCGTGTGTATCTGACGACAACGGAAAACCACGAAGCAGAACGACATCTCAACGTAGCCACAAATCACCACACCAACAACCGCGTTCGCCGCGCCCGTCTTCTCATAATAAATCATCGCAAAACCCCACGAACTCTCAGGCGCATAACCCATCCCCTCTCAAGATGGTTACTACTACTTCAACGACGTCGCATCACCATGGCGACGAAACCCTGCATTACTACCTGCCGGACACAAACACGCGAGAGGCCGAGTTGCAAAAACAAGGGTGGATGGAACCAATAGTAATAGACGACGAAGACTTGATGTTTAGCGGTAAAAGCCTGAGTGCTTGGTATGAGGAAGAGAGGAAGTCGATCAGTAGTCCAGCCGAAGAGGAACGACGGGGTCGTCAAAGAGTGAGTTTCACCCTAAGATCAGCGGCACAATGAGACATACTTACACCGGCGACTCAGGTCCGACAGCATAATTCACATACGCATCACCATAACCACCACAATCACCACCGTCATCATCCAAGTTCGACGACTACATCCGGTAGCCACGAGCAAAATAAACACTAAATTACCGATGAACGAAACGACGAACGCAATTCGGGACGTGGAGTCCCGAGCGGTTCTCATTCCCTTTCCATGATACCCAACACAACATTTGCATGACTACATGGGCAGGTGTAGAATTAACAGATTTAACGCGCGCGTTACGATTTATACCGATTCGATCGATCCTTATTCCGGACCGAATCAAACTATCTATAATCGCATTAGATATACGACTACATTGGCGTGCCTTGAACTTCAACTATCACAACTTCACGAAGATACAATGGGATATAGACCAGTATTAGACAGGCCATTCCGCATTCATTCTATTGCCCGGGGGAGCATTGAGAATTTCTGCATTGGCTAGGCGTTTATCATTACCCTGCTTTTTTCCCCCTGCATTGCCAAGACTACGAAATTGATACGACGAGGATACGGGGTAACTTGAGGCGTCTCCGGTGGCGAGAGACGCAAGCATAATTATTGCTGGTGGTTTGCTTGAGCAACATCCAGACTTGGTCGACTGCCTGAGATAGGGGACACTGCATATGCTCCCAAGAGTTTAGCTTATCGGCCGAGGCCGTAGCGTTGAGGTATATTCGAAGAGCAATAATACGCTCGGTCTAAATTCAATTAGTTAGACAACATGATAGCTGCTGTTATCTTTATGGAGTACTCTACGCTATGCCTTCATCTATAATATAGTATTCCTAATATAACATTTAACCAGAGCATTACTCGAACAGTCATTCTTATAAGAGAAGATGTATCATCGCATGTTTGTAATACAGCCCCGAAGTGGAAACGATCATTGTTGATCATATGCACGAAACCTAGGTTAGATGAAGTAGAGCTATCTGTATAGCTGATCATCTACGTGTTACTCAGCTAGCCGACGTATATAAATAACACAGATACGGATTTTTTAGTCACAGTTTTCTCATAATAGTTACAAGTCGCCATATTTTATACAATTTTTGGAAACGGTAATTATTGTTTTGCTTTCCCTATATGACGTCCCTCTCGAAAACAAATACGGTTATTGGTAACGTATTGTTAGTAACCACCAACAAATGATGTAGAGTAAACGGTGACAATACTTAGTCTGCATTGCGGTTCGTCGCTACCATCTAGCTTACCGCCAGTGGAACACCGGAGCGGGACACGGGGTATAGGCGATCATATACTACGAACCAATTAAAGGCCGTCGTGCTAGCCCGGAAGACGTCGATGTCTCGAGATAAGCCAAGTCTGATAGGATGATAATTGTCTTGTCTTTCCTAAACCATACGACACGAATGATGCCCGAAGACTTGAAGTATCATATAGATCAGTCCTCTGATATCAAAGGTTTAATTTTCCAACGACTAAACGACTGCTTAGCAAAAGATAAGTAGGTATTTTATATGAGTTCGGGTCTAACCCCTTTCAAGAATCCCCAAAATGTACTCTATCGTCTTATGGTCCACACCATTATCGCCGATACCTCAAATTGCGAAGACTGCTATATTCAAGAAGCGGTGTAAATGTAGGACCCCTCTATTAAGGACTAGGTACGAAGTAAAGGGTGAGAATTCGCTGGCGGCGGAAACTAAGGAGTGGACAACCCCCCGAAGTGGCATGTTGTTTCCATATTGCTGTCTTGAAGGAAGCATTCTGGATTATTTAGGCCTCTATTCAGACGCTAGGCTATGTACTTCTGTCACCGAGTGTGTCTCGTCTCAACATGTCATGCTCTATATACTATACTCACCGGTATGCTACTCTTTCCAGAGCTATTCATCCATGCCCTCATCTTCATTCCTACATTTAGGGGCCTCGGTGCTAGTTTGCAGCCAGGCTTGGAGCGAGATGATGAATGCATTAAATCTACTCGCCATAGACGGGGCCCCGAGTAATGAATCTATGAAAGATTGTCGAACATATCTCGGGAAAGTGTGCGTCACGAAATGGTGCGAATCATGAAATGCTACGAGAATCTAATATATCAAAGACGGGGATAAAAGACAGCAAAACTTCTAATTAGGTATATATCCCTATCAAATATACCATTAACCACTCAGGGATAGAATAGGTGGCTTTTCTTTCGATTTTACCAATCCGGTAAGACCTGCCATTGGTCCTCAAACTTCAGTCCACCTCCCCCTATTAGGTCACAGTTTAAGTGTCCCCATTTCCGGCGAAATACTTCCTTGCCCGCCTCTGTAAGCACTTCGAGAGCCTCTGAAAATCCCGCGGAGTCGTAGTAGAAAGGTTCGCCCTGGCCGCCATGCTGGCCCGACTGCCATGTATTGCGCCCACGACCGCTGTGCTTGTAGTGAAACATGCGATCAGCAACGCCTAGCAATACCTTCCAGTATTCCAAAGGGTCGGCGGGCTCCCGGGGGGCAATTCGCGTATCCCTTTCCTGTTTATTGTCTTCTGCGGGCGGTGGGGGATTTGGGTCACGGAAGCTGGGCGTTATGCTCGGATCTCGGTATAGAGCGAGGAGGTTGTCGAGCGCGACGGAGGTATCAGTTATAACTCCACAATTGGCGTCTTTTTGTGTCCAGTTTCTCATGTGTAGGCGGGTGTAAGTATCACAATCCGTCATGTAGTACGGGATTAAAGTATCCCAGCCGCCAATATCTTCGATCGCCATCGGATTCTGTAGCGTGAGGTGGTCGTACGCAAAAAATCGTAACCCCCACCTATCATCCGTCTCCAGTGTACGATTGAGCTCCTCAAGACACAAGGTATATAGACTCTTGTAGCCCAGATCACCCGCACGCGGCGTGAGGCCCTCGAACCCGTTCTCGTGCCCTAGTGCGAGGACGTCCATATGGCTCCAAAAATAATACGGCCAGTTGTTGGTATAGGATAGCGAGAGGTAGAAGTTCTGCAGCTGCGCGAAGCTCAACAATACCGGCGTCTGAACGATATTTACACCGAGGCGCTTTAAAGACTCGTGGTTAAGATACCACGGGTGCTGGAGACCAAGCTGGCCACGCGCGTTGGCCTGCTGCATGCCGGTATTCTCGACCACATAAATCTGCTCTGCCGGCCAGCCCGCCGTGATATAAGACACTACAGCTTGGAGCAACATGGGCCAAGATCGAGTGAACCCGATCACCAATGGCGGCGCGATTTCCAGCCCATACTTAACCCATACATCCCTCTCGGCAATATTGTATGTCGGGATAGGTGGTGGGTTCGAAGTCGCTAATGCTGGAAATGGGTCTTGTATGGGGGGCGGCGTGTAGGAGGGAGCTGGTTTATATTGCGGAGTAGGTCCAGCTTCCGTCGGTTTTCCTAGGTGGACGTCGATAGGTTTCATCAACTCACGTCCAGAATTTGCATAGAAGAAGAGTATCAACAAGAAACTACCGCTGAGTAAGAGTCCGACCAGGGACAACATCTGTCTCGGACGTATCATCATGGCCCCCGGAGCTTCTATATTAACTGAATCGCTCACTCGAAGCTTGAGCCCAGCGTCGAAGCTACCACCAAGTTAAATAGTAGGGAATTCTACCTGGTAGACATACTCGATATTTACGGCCGGGAATATGATTAATACCGCGCACAGGAAAATTCGAAGGGAAATCAATTACACCAAGGAAGGTGGCTAGAATGTCCTGGATATACGCAAACAAGGCAAACACAAATCGCATCCTGCAAATCTTGGTCTAGGATCAAGTATCACAGTGATGATGGCCTGAACTAGTGGCGTAGCTTTGTGAGCGCACAACTACATCATCGAAGAATCCGTTTAAGGCAAGCATTTCATGGTAAATGAAAAGACGCAGTAAACCAATTATAAGTCGCCTAGTGGTGGCTGAACGCGTCATATATCCGTCACTTAGCGTATCCCACAATCTTGAAAATCGACATTTCACCAGAGACGCGACGGGTTGATATCCTGCGGATGGGTTGACACTGCCTGAGGAATAAAGCCGTATTGCTGTTCGCATAAGAAAGTTATATGATACATCTATTCGCTGTCATATACAAGCGATGCCTTATGCCCCTTTTCAAGAAGTCTCTCGGTTTGGTATTAGCATTTCGGTGGCAATGCTACTACCAGCTTCGTCGTTCGAGCTAAGGTATTGGTAGGTAGCCTTGAAAATATGGTGCTAAAGGTGTTTGATAGCAATCCAAGTTATTAGCCAAATTCCTACGTACAACATATCCCATAATATTAAGAAAGGGGGCAAACGAAGAACTTATCCGAGTTACAGTTGTAACATATATGATCAACATCCGCTCGGAGAGAAAGGCTCGGCGGCAGATTAAGTGGCTTTCACCTCCGCTCCGGTGTTACGGCGATCATCATATGGCGGTTGAGGTCCGACTTGGCAAAGACGGCATCTAAAATCTTGGTATTCGTCTAAACACGCCACCATGCGCAAATCGAGCTTAGAATGCGAGTCGCAGATCACCCATTCTTCACCAACGGAACATGGTGTAGTAGTAAGCCGTATAGCCGCTGCCTAGACCTTGATGATTATTGTTGTTGGTTCGCTAAAGTCCGGGGCAAGGTCTCTCCAGATGTCGATCATATGCAAGCCAGCTCAACCCCCGGGGCTTGTCTTTCCCTGGGTAGCCTAATCGACCAGGGCAACCTGGGTAGGTATTCCATATAGAGGGGCTAGTCTACGATGGGTTATCCGACAATGGTATTTTGATATTCGTACAAAGACTTTGAACGAGCTTCCTACCTAACATAGGATTGAAATGCAGATTTAAGTCTTTAATGTCGGTGGCGGGGTTGGGCATTACAGACCTGTACATTTTATTAGTTTCCGCCTGCCATCTCCATGGGAATTTATTGTACATTATTGTCCCTATATGGAAATAAATATGAAAAGAAGTAAGGTTAGGTAGTTACGTATCGTAGAGGAGTAGAAGCGTAAGTGTCGACTTCCTAGGACATGATCCTTCCCGTCATTTATTAGAGACTGGGCCGGAGGAGTCAAATCAATAGCTCGTAATGCGATCCCCTCTCGCTACCGATTGATAAGAGAGAATGCATGTGTATATGGGTATGTATGCAGTCGGAAAATGGCGGTAAGCGGGCAAGCCGTCAACTTCTCTAGATGATCGTGATTTAATCTACGGGTCTCGCAATACTCCGGAGATGCCATTGCAAACTATGTACTGTGTGATATAAATCGTTCCAGAAGTTCCATAACTCTCTCGTCTGACATCGTACGTGTAAGACTATGCTATGAGGTAGAGGCATTGATATTGGTGGTGATGATAATGGAGTATCGAGAGAAAGTCGCCTTAGGTACGTACGATCACCGAACTGAATCCCTGTCCTCGGGCGTGTAACCCCCCGCACTAATGATACTAACGATGGATACGTGATTGACATAATGCATTCTACCAGCACAGACGTGCGGTTGGTCTACCCAGATAACCTTGTTGCAATAATGCGCGATGGTAGCGCCACGCTATTGTATCTCAGTAGTAAGACCATTCACGATCCTTCTAGGGGAGGAAGTGATCGTCTGAACCCTAATCAGTCCCGCTCGTTTCCCTCGAGCCGCGTGGTCGATAATCTTCAACGGACTTTGCGCATTAGTCTAATCAGACGTTTGCCGAAGTTCGTGCTACGAGCCTCCACGCAAAAAATCCCTTCTTCTTATATAGGTACCTATATGTATAGATATCTATCCTTCTTAATCTACGTGCTATCATTTTCTAGTATACTTACGTATATCGTAGTTTTCGTAGCATTAGAAAAAAAAAAGACTACCTTCGCTTAGGAGCTAGATTGGTAAAGGTATAGCTTCGCCCGGTCACGAGGCTCTCGATCATCTCATATATGTAATGGTATCGCAGCCGATACCGGGATAGCTAATATATACGGGGTACGGGGTTCGATAATGGGGGGGGTGGCATAACGGAAATGCATCAGCCGGTAGTTGGTGATCTGCGATGATGCAGGCCATGCCGCCATCCTTCCTCTAGTTAAAGTCTTAGCCCCAAGGTAGATCTTGCGGGACAAGACGCATATGAACATCGTTAAGACCCAGATACTCAGATTAAGACAAGAAGAAAGAAAAGCTTGTGTCCAATTGCGTGTGTCGTATGACGCGGGGTGGGTTGCCGTATATACATACATACGCAGCCGACACTCAATACCAAAGCCCGCCGGTAAGATACTATATGAACGAACGCCGTGCAGATGAATATATTATGACTCCTATATGATAATACCCAAGTCATGCTGTACGTCCTCCAGATCCGGTAGCCTGACGCATGTCGCCATCGACCCAGTTCAGGGCATTACGGTCAGGCGTTCATCGGTCTCTGGAGACATCCGGCTCCTCGACCTACCTACTATGGTACTACATATAAACTTTTCTTGACTCAGCGGTAGTATGTGCAGTATGTGCGAGAGCTGCACGCTAACGCAACAGCAGCAGGGGTTGACGACTGTGGCCCGGATGGTTGTGATTGGAGGGGATGCAGGTTTCATCATCACATCACCCTCTCCCATGCAACACTTTCGAGAGTGAAGCATGTGTACCAACCCGGTTCGGCATTCTCATATAGCTCAATGCTACCTTGGCTGATGTGTATATATATAGGTACCTATATATATGTGAGTCTGTACCTCCACACTCTGCCGGTGAGAATCCGCCTACAGTTTTAGATGCGTGAATGTTACCATAATCTTATTCCTATAATAAATACAACCCGAATTTTTATAAATACCGAACTAGCGGGATTATTCTCTTACTTTCGCTAATCTAAACGACGTCCTATCAGTTCAGCTGCTAGAAAACGCCGTGGTCTTTCCATCGATGACCGAACAAGATTAGAAGAGATACAAGCGTTGCGCACCACTCCCGGGCTGGTAAATCCCAGCAAATTGTACACGATATGCCCCAAGCTTCGAGAGAGTCGGGCCGATCGGCCATTGTTGATGACATCGATGCCATCACACCATGTCCCCTTACGCGTAGCGGTCCCAAAGCAATTAATGAATCCGACATCATCAACTCGATCAACAAGTTCCAAGAGTCAAGATCCCCGTCGCCGTGTTCCGAGTGTTCGTCGGACAGTATGCATGCATCTAGGAGTAGAAGACGAGAATCCCTCAAGGCCTTAGAGGAGGGCACAGAAGGCGACCCTGAAAGACTATGGGAACGGATGCTTGCGCTTCAGCAAGTTTACGGCTGCTATAATTCGGCTAGGATGAGCGCGGCGCTTAGCTCGGGGGACGTCAGCTTGCTATTGCGTAAGTGCTCTCCTCCAACTATTCAAGAGATTTATAACGTAGTTCTTGAATATGCTGCTAATTCATATACACCAGCTTCTAAGGCATGCTTGAACCTTCTCAATGAGAATATTTCTTTTCTACCCGACGAAACAGGGGGAGCATTTAGAGGGTGGAAACCGAACGCCGGGAGCAGGCGTAGTCATTAACTTGACACCTACCTACAAGGAAAGGAGCGCCAGAAGCGTAGGTTATGACAGAACGAGTACGTCATCTAGTTGCCAAGAACGGCTTGGGTCTGGAAAATAAAGTAGTAAAGTAGTGTGCTCCGGTATGATTAGGCGTCGGCGGCAGATTGCATTTTGATACCCCTAGTGCGGAGTTTGAGAATGAATTGATCGATTAAGCAACCGTATCGGCCATAAACCCTGTATGCCAACGTGCATGTATACGATAGCTCAACCGTCCGCCGTTAAGAGGCTACGGAGAGCGTTCTCCAATACCTTCTGACATTGCTCGCGATAAAGCATAGCAAGTTGCTGATTACTATTGATAGCCTCGTACTCCGGTTCGTTCACTTCTATCTCCTCCAGATCCATACTCAATTTTGCTCCTAAGGTATCGACAATCTTTCTAAGCACTTCATTCTGAATATCGCCTCGTACGATCTTATTCAAGCTGGCGTCGTTCGTTTCATCTCCCCCTTTTGTAATGCTTTCGTACAAAGCAGCGATGAGGGTATCTTGAATATGTGAAAAGCAAGGGAGGCAGCTCAAGGAATCTGCGCTCAAAAGTTTCGACCGCCCGACGAATGAACTACGATGAGCCATAGGCCTCAACGATACAACATGCGAAGCCGCCAAATCACCAGCCTCTGGGTCTGCCCTGGTCTTGATATGGACATAGTCGTTGTGGAGATCATCGTTTTCTGGGAGTATAAAGCCATACCCCAAAAGTAGCTCGGCATTAGTTTTCATACCGTAGTTGTTGAATACTTGTTCACCGGCTGAATATGTCTGCCTTGACTTAAGCATGCACATTTTAGTCTGTTCATCGGTGGTCCAAGCAATCTTCGCTAGTGGCGAGTGGTTTCCGATGTCGTACAGCGGAAGCAGCACCGAGAAGTCATCTAACTCGCATGGCAACCCCAGCGAAGCTTCGGCGGGGAAAATAAGTGACGGTCGAAAACTACGGCTAGTGAAAATACTATAGGCCCAGTGATACAACGGCCGAGTATACTCTATATGGTACTTCTGCGGGAGTAACTTCAAGGCGTTCTTGTGCTCTTTTTTGAGGGTTGACTTGATATCCTGAATAGCCGCAGAAGCATTGGTCCCATTGAGAAATTCGATATCGTCTGAGGGCCACATTACGGGGAGGATGTTACTCATATGTTCGAGTTGAGGTAAGGTCCGGATATACGGCCACCACTTGGACTCGGGTCCTAGAAGGTATTGCTGCATGAGGAAAAAACGGCCGACGACATGAGGTGGCGTTTCTTTCAAGAATTCTTCTGGGAAATATTCTCTACTCTCGCGACTCAGGGTGTCTGAGTTGGATGGAGAAGCGAAAGCCGGGTGCCCACGAATAGCATCGAGATAGGAGAGGGACTTAGAAAGCGGAAGAGTAACTATGACATCGTCCACTCCAGTCGAGCATGAGTCTTTCACGCGGAAAGACCCTTTGGTGACCTCGTCATGGTATATTTCAATGGCGGGATTAAGATATCCACCATCACTCTCTACCCACCGAAGCAGCGCATCATAACGTTCTGATATCGTGGCCATCCCACTCGCGAGATATGAATATGTGGTTGAATGTGTATATACCGTATATACCCAAGTATATAATTCTCACGTGGTTTTTTACGCGCGAAGAGAGACTATGAGTATGTCTTGGGTATTTCTTCAGCGCCTTTCAAGTACTATTGATAAAGCCGGGTTGTTAAAAGGTAATAAGATATAGAGTGTAGGAAATATATAAAATTGTAAGTGGCTTCGTCGTGGACTTGGAGTAGGTACAAAGGTTAAGAAAATTACCCGTATTACGATTGTGGCTCAAGGTGGCTCAAGGTGGCTCAAGGTGGGCTTAGTTCCCCAAGTGATTTGTGCATAAATGGACGTGCATATATTTTATGCGCTACCCTCAAAGAGTAATATATTTATGCAAGGCTCACCAAATACACTGACATGCGACGATACTCATATTGCCCCTTGGTAAGGGCTGCCATCTGAAACCGTCGACAAAAAGGAGATACTATGCTAGTATAAGTCTCACACATTGGTAAATGACCCAGTAAAACCAAATCTATAGTAGCCGAAACTAACAATTGTCAATAGTACCTAACACCTATGGCTAACACTAAGGCTCACCATCACGATCTCTTTTGTTCAACCCGATAACCTAGCGGATGGAAGAGAAAGATGTTCGAGCCCATCTTTGGCCTCGATTTCATTACCTACGACTTAATATGAAGTCCCCTTTAGCAGGGTAGATAGATATTCTAAGCTTTTGAAAACAAAGGCGGTACGGTCGTCTGAAGAGGTAGCTAGCAGTTAACCTCTCCCCAAGTATCAACCAGTAAGACAAACAACATGGCACGATTTGTCAAGCAAAGTGCCAAATGGCGGAGAGGTATCCGAAGCCGGCACCTATGGGCTTTTAATGAGGAGGTTCCCAGTTGTGCGCATGGGTTATTATACTTAAGCAACTAAGGCTTGTCCGTCACCGGCGTCCTCTGATATCTTGGGTGGTATAATATTATTCTATATAAGCGTTTCACGTCTGACCTATCAGAGGCATGTTCTTCATCATGCGCAACCCTTCCTACTCTGCTAAGAAGGGTATCCCGTGACGTTAAAGAATTAGCCTCTGCCCCTATTTTCACTCCATAGATCTTACGAGCCTTCGATCGACCCGAGCTGTGAGTTTGCTTTAAATCTCATTCTGAATACACTCGAGGTCTTCTTACAATGGCTGTGGGCCGCTCTATCACATTTAAGGGACAGGTATACCATTTTCTAATCTAAGTGAGCAGCGCTCTTGAGGTATATTTATAAAGGCGACATGAATAAGCCATGATGAAAAGATGAAATAAAATACGAAAATAACATCCACCCAGTAGTCATTTGTTATGAACCTGAACCCTAGCTATAATATAATAGCACATATCAATCTTGCTCTTACCAATGAAGTTTCGCCTTGCTGTTCCGTTTCCTTTCGGCTTAACCCTTAGCGGGTTGGCAGGATGGACGAGATATCAGTCCTTTAGCATAGGAACACAAACCTCCACTGCTAGACTGATTTCTTATCTTGAAAGTATATTGTCTACTCGGGAATCACATGTATGTCGGGTACTCTCTTCAGGGTAGGCCATTGACTAGCGAGCGTACCGTGCTTCCCATGCATATTTTCAGTGGGATGTCTCGAGCAATTTGGGACGACCTGGAAGTTTGCTATCAGAAATAGCGTTAAGCCACCCAATTTAACTTCTTCGAGAAGCTCATTAATGTTGCTTCTAGAAGCGCAATATATTGGAAGATCTTATCTCGGAGAATTGCCTGATCCCCCCTTTTCTCAATATCCTCGTCCTGTCATCCGTTAGAAAGCATTTCAAGATTGATAGGCTTACTCGTCATAAACCTTTATCGGCAACATTTTTTATGTACTATCAGCTCCGTGTGCTTCCCGTAGATACCAACTTCTTAATAATGCGTATTGGTAGTTACTAGTTATCGACCTACTAGGTAAGTTTACCCGCTTCGACGTGGCGGAGAAACCATGTTATGGTAGCATCTGTACCAATTGGTTAATGTTTATGGGCAGCCAATACGAAAAATTCTAATGTAAGTATGAGGCACGACTGTGGGGTCTTATTAAGCTACCTTGATGATCTTAGGAGATAGGGAGCCATGGGTTGAGTTAAATGTAAAAGTATTTCCATTTTCTGCTTTGATATTCAAATCGCTCTCCTTACGGGTCGTATCATGCTATTAATCAACATTGAAAAAAAAGGAGATGACGTTTTGATCCCAGACGGGTTATTCCTGTTCTATTGTACATACTATGTAATCTTCGTGATATGCATGCAACTATGATTGATGTAACTTCGCAATGGAACGGTTCGAGCCTCGCCGCTCCCACGGATCCTTTTAGTTCAAAAGTAGCACCTAAAAGACGGTGTCATTTACGTAAGGTAATTATCGCCAGCCAACATGATAGAATCGATGGTTACATCATTATCAAATATCTACACTACCTATGTACCTCCTAGCTCATACAGATTTATTCGCGTCATGAATAAAACGTTCCTCATTTATAAACTTGTACCCCTTGCTATGATCACCTTGTCGTTTAACGTGTAATTGTGTAATTGCTTCCAACAGTGTGGATTCATCTAACTTAAATTTGACCCGAGACGCTGTACTGGGTCGGCATTTATTGGTTGAAAATTTGCCCTGGTCTTGTTAGCTCCTTGTCTTCTTCAGTATCCACTGGAAATGATGATTGTGGATGTTGATGCTCGTACGTATGGCGACATCTAGCACATCATTTTACAACAGCACGACCTCGTGTTCAAATCTAAGTGTATGTTTTACATTAGTACCTCGCGTATCAATTTGGAACGAATCCTTCGACCTTTATTTTTGAGTCTCCATCGAGCTTAAAGTATGGGCTGGACAAGTTAATCCACGTGGCTCATATTAGGCGCAATAGAATCCGGTACTTGGATTTGAAAACCTCCATATTAAAATCATTAACTACCAAAGATAAGATAATCTTTTCAAGTTCATTTTTAGTAAATGATGGTTTGTGGGCGCTTAAGATTTCTAAAATAACAGTATCTTTAAGAATCTTCTCTCGAGATGCTTGATATCGAGTCGTTTTACTTTCTTTATTAAAATTTAAATACCTACCTTGGTACCCATATGGCGGTAACTGGGTGCTTATCATGTAAGTAAGTGGCTGAAACTGCCGCGAATCCTTGTAACCATGGCTCTATCAGCTCCACTTTAGCTTCTGGAAGGGTTCGCTGGCTTCAATGCTGGCTTTAATTTCGGCCCTCATTCGTGGGTTCGTGGGGATGACCAACGCTTGGCTGCATAATATCATGGCCACGATGATCTTGATGGCTCTAGATGGCCCACGTGCAACTTCTTTGAGCAGATGGTGCGTTTCGAGCTTCTTGACACCAGACCGGCGCCATAGTAGATATGTTGATGTTTACATACGTTCACACAAGGGTCCAATTCGTACAGCCAGTGTTTACGTATGACTTCAAGATCTGCTCCATATGCTTTTTATACTTGTTTTGTGCATATATCCTAGATCCCTACTAGGCTGTGTCGAAAGTACCTAATGTATGTGTGTATTGGGTAGATACTTAACCCCCAGTAATACTTTGATCATCCCCTCATCTTGCCATCGAGAATTTCTTTTCCGAGGACTCATACCCGATGATGAAAGCCCCTGTGGCTAATGAACCAAACAGAAGGGATAAACAGTGTCTTCCCCATGTCTTCTTCCCTTACCTACCTGCGTCACCTCCTAATGTGCTTTTTAACGGGCTTCGGCTTTGTCAAATAACTTGTTTCTTGTTTTCATTCCATGTCTCTCCGGTGGAGTATGTCTCAGTGCGCGCTTTAGTGCCGCTGTTCTAGAACAGAAAACAGAGAACTAACCGTTTAGGTACTTACAGATCCAAGCATGCGGTTACTGACCTGTTGCGTTACCTTAGCCCGGTACTTGGTTGACCCTTAGCCGTTTTGCAAGGAACAAGACTGTCAAACTGCTTTGGTTTTTCCTCTGATTGGCGGCGGTGACAGCGTTGTCGGGAAGACTGTCGCGGCGGGTATTTCTCTCATGCTGTATAAGTGGATACTGGGCCGAGTCCTCGGTACATATTATGTACAATGTGACAATAATAACAACAACAACAATAATAATAATAATAGCACCGTGTTCGCTATATTTTACGTACCGTATCTTATACATTAATATGTAAAGGACATGTATAACCACGATTTGAAAATTTCTTACTGTACCTACTATGTAAACATAATATTTAAATGTAACCCGGTTATGCAAAGTCAGTAAGCCAGAGGAGAGATTTCTTACCTTAGGTATGCACTGAAGCGCCCGTTATTGTTGTTTATATCATGCGGTCCAGCTCTCTATCTGACGTACATGATAAGAAGTACAGGGTGTACTTAATAGCTCGGAGAATAGTCCGTGGAATTAGTTGTTTTTGGACCTTGGACTCGTGTCAATTCGTTAACCTATGTAATGTACTCTGTAGGGTAAACACGGTAGCCCAACGCTAGTAAAGAGACCCGCCTTGTCAGACCACCGACGAAGTGTCAATCGTTGGTTCGAACCATGAAGATGGGTCTTCGGGCGAATACGTACATATGTACATACGCGGTAGACCCCAGTGGCTCTTCTAGCTCTCCCTGGCAAGTTCAAACCAAGCCTTATTTACATATGTACTATGTATGGCAGTTATGTAGGCTAGAATACTACTAGAAACTGGAGACTGGACCGCATAAGCAGTTTCCAGTACCGGCTAACTCCTGTCTCACAAGGATCATGGTACACCGACGATAATCAACAAGCCCATCCAAATGTCATCAGCGATATGTATATGTAGGTGTGGGCGATGGTCTTGGCACTTTTAGAAAGGGTAGCGTGGTCTATATGAATCCAGGCACACCTGGCCAAGGGTTCCTGGCGTTGTACGGTCTTTCGGGTTGTTAGTCGAAAAGCACGATCGACGATACAGCAGGCTTAAATACACACATATGTCCACCCACCTTGAACCTCGCTCATTATTATCTATACGTCTCAAACTATGAACGCAACCAGTTTTATAGTCGGTCCATTGAAATACAGTCGAAATTCGCCATCTTTTTAATTATCTAACCTAGGCTCTAGAATCACCAGAGCTTATATAGCACGGCAGTGACTCACTGAACGTCATCCTTTTCGAACATAGCATCGAAACGGTCGTCCAAATTTTTCGACAATGTGTGATTATACCCAGGTATATACCTTATATTAGGCGCCTGAATTACAGCCGTGGCATATACTAACCCGAACTTTGCCAGGTAGAATATTGTTGCCAGCATTTTCGCTTTGTGGTACAGAGATGGTGTTCAGTATATGAGAGAACAAACAAGGTCTGCGCACCGAACGTGACGCATTTGGAAATAAGGTAGTGTTTCTCTAGCCTTGCAGCACGCTTACTCACATGCTGCTTATGCTTCATTCTCATAAACCACTTGGCCGGTCACTGACAGATTTCTGACCAGACATGATGAATTATGCTGTAAGCTCCCCTCATCCTCTCACTTGCAGATTTTTGCAAGGATCCTCCCGCAGATATCGACATTTAGAAGACACCCCCACCTTGTGCTCTGGGACATAACGAAACAACGCAACTCGCATATCAATCTTCCGGCTTGAGAACCCTTACCCCCCATGGAGGAGAAAGTGGGAGAGAGAGAAACATTTTGCTTTTTTTTATTACTAAATTTTAGGACTTACTAACAGTCTCTAGCTGATTGCCGGCCGCGATCACCGCCACCATGGGAGTATATGATCAGGAGAAGCAAGAGCTCTACACCATACATCTAAACCAAATTCGACAACCGAGTTACACGGCATATTAAGGAAATAACAGGAGTTGAAATGCTTTGGATTGTTTCAAGGATATAGATCATCAGCACAGTGCCGGTTCACTTTGTATCCGGTCATGCTACACGTTTTTCAATTATGGGCATTTTTGAGGAGTGGGGAGCACATCAGTGTGGCCAAAATAGGATCTGGCACGCTTGGAGTCTGGTGTTTTAGGTAAGATTTATGGTTATGCGGCGTTATATGCGACTGGGCTCCGGAAACCCGAGGGTAGCGTCTTCAAGCGTGGTGTAAGATGACTTGGATAGGAAGGACATAGTATTTCGTTATACCATTGATTGTTGGTACTCAAGGAATGTCGTAAGGCGGTAAAGCGCATGGCCAACCTGGGAGAAAGGCTGCATGTTTCCCGTAGACGGATACAAGTGATCACAATACACAAAGTCCGAATCTTACATTCACTAGGTTCTGTGCTATTAAGAAATGCCACCCTCTTACGCCAAGAGCTCTCTTGCGGATCCCGAAGACTCCAAGTCATACCACGAAAACCATTACTCTCTTGATAAGCCAGATTTTAGTAATATCATTAACTAGCTGGAATTAAGGCGATAGGTATAGTTATGTGCTGGTTCATATGAGGACCATTTCTAACAAGAATAAGCCAACAGCATTATGGTACAGCATCTAGCAAGCAAGCAGTGCGAATCATATGGTCACACGACCAGAACTCTTGAGATGACAAAATTCCAATAAGACGTGGATGTGTTTTTTTGCTTCAATTAACTAGATGAAGAACATCACTTGTTGAGCTTCGTCAAATGCCGTCGCACATTTATAAGACGTGCCAACTTATTAGAGCGAGAGGTGAATATACTTAAACGAAAACTATTATGCCGCCACGTTGTCAGAGGTCATCTATGCCGTCTAAGAGGTAGTTTAATCGAGCCGCATCCGTCTACGGATATTGCACTTCAATCTGGGCATATTCCCGCTCCACAAAAGCCTTGTGTTGCTATTGGGCATCCATACACGACCCCTAAAGTAGAATCGTATTCGCCAACAAGGTATCGCTATTTTAGCATTTCCATTAGATAAGAACAAGGCTACGAAAAAAAAATCTAGGCGAGATTGCGAGGCATCATTTGTTTTTCCAGCGCGGCAGGTCAAGTATCAAATTCACCTATGTAAGAGACAATTACAGAAGCGACCGATGTTCCTGATCGACAACCTTGGTGGCAGGCCGTTGTACGCCCACTCAGTACTGTGTATTAGTAGAGACTAACCTCCAATATTACGCTATCTTTGGGGATGGGCACGGATATGATGTTCATATGCTTGCTCACTCCCGTCTTCACTATAGTTGTTTAACGTCAGACGGACGAATGCGACCATGCGTGCATCATATGTAGGTCACGCAACTTCGCAGGATCTTACCTGGCTTATCGGCTTTTGGGATTATTTGTTTTACGAAATGCCCTTTTGCCAATCACCAGTTATTAGATTTCTCAATGGAGTATACGGAGTTACGATATTACCCTTTTACGGGGCTATAGACTTTAGATCTAGACCTAAAATATATGGTGCCCGTCGCTATCGGGGCAAGGGAATTCCCCATCCCGCATGTCTTCCGGTCTTCGTTTAACGCCGACCTATGTCAGAGTCGCCAATGTAACCTACCTAATTAGGTACCATGACTGGCATTTGCGGTCGGGAATCCTACAAGATAGTCTTTAACACCGATGAACTATTTTTTACGTATTATGTACCTAGCTAGTGTATTTGTATGTTGTTGTTATTCGGGACTCTTTAGTCTGTCTCCTCCTGGTGCCACAGCGACACGTGGGAGGAACTCCTCTTCTGGGCTCCTCTTCTGGGCTCCTCTTTTGAGGTGTACCTAGTTAGTTCATTTTGATAAGGCTGTGCTTACAATATTCCCGTCCGTCCGGTAACCTCGCTTATTCAAGTCGCAACAAGCAAGATTTCGCATTACTACAACCCATCAGTTTTTGCAATATATCGAATTAGCAAGTAGGGATCTATTAGCATCCGCTGCTCACTATGCTCTAAATCGATATTATATGTTCTGGTAAATATTAGTTACCTATACATATAAGAAAAGCTTTTCGAAAGCTTCGAGAACTTCACTAAAGTTAACTAGACTCGACCCGTTCGTTACCTAGACTAAAAATGCCTAGGTGTTATAATTTCCGATCTATTATTTTAGCTTTAGTGTATGTACGCAGGGTCTTCCTCTAGTCCGTTCTCCCCTGACATCAACTGCCCACATAGTACGGAATACAATGTAAGTATCCACTATGAGCCCTACAGTTTATGCCGCAGAAGGATCACCATTGCAGTAATAGTGTATGTACTGCTATTATGGGTGAGTACATGCGAAGAGACCCGCTCAATCAACTAAGTACACCGACTTATCGATGTACGAACTCGGGGAACAAAGCCCAAATATTTACTACACATTCGGGGCTTGCTTTGAAATAGATATGTATAACCTTCTAATGCGGAATAGAATTTAGCCTCGAGTCGATGGTGACTCTATGTCGGTTATCACGGCCTGCCCGTTGTATTTGACGACTGGAACTTAGAGCTATTAAGTGGATAAGTTGTAATGATTTACCGTTTCTACCTATTCACCCTTGTACTCGTTACCTACCTAGGTACATAGTGTATAACCATGTACCTAAGGACATGCTATCGATCCCTGCGAGTGCTAGTATTATGTTCCTCTTCGTTCGGCTTGGAAGTTGAAACAGCGTCGGCCGAAGGCGAAAGAAGAAAAACCCTTGCAGGGTATACTTAAACCCCATCCATGTAACTCGCAACTTGCTTTACCTGTTTAACCTATTGACCCCACATTGAACCCGCATGAAGCCAGACTCATGTGACAGCGTCGATCATATTTGAATTTTGAGACAGGAGATCGTAAACTGAGCCTCTTACCTATAACGTTCATGGGATATTACTTTTTCTGAAGTAGCTTAAGAAATAGTCGCTCAAGGGTATACCTGTCGGCCCTGGTAGTTGGGCTCGTCATGTTTTGGTTCGGCAGATCAACCCATGGCCTCATTTTGTGGAGTTTATGGTAGGGATCCTAAGTTAAGGCTTACGACTTGGGATTGTTAAAAAGACGTATACATTAACACTTACATGCAGAGCAGCATCTACTTTTATCATAGAAAGGAATATGGTTAATATACTTAAAACTCACTACTGTAGTTAAAGCGCTTGAGTTACGTGTAATAAGTGCCTAGTACTATATTACTAGGCGCGGACCGACCCGGAAATCTAAACGGTAAGACTTAAGAGGCATCTACCTAACCTATTCGTAATCTACAGCTTGGCTTGATTAGAGCATGTTGCTTGTTTATATATGCGGATCATGCGAAGTGCCACCATATGCAATATACTACTATGTACATTTATGGCCAATGATCGCCACCTATCGACCGGAATCTACGTCTCCCGAGCAAAGCGCCTGAGCGCAACACGGCACAACCCTTGTAGGTGACGAAAGAATAACCGGCACAGTTGTGTATGTATTGCATACAGCTCAAACAACCGTTTAGCAAAGTCTTATTTTTAGTAATGTCGAGCCAAGACGATCGCCTTTAGAGTCTGGCCAAGTCTAATCATGCCATTCCTGGGGCCATGGTTTCAGTGTCGGCAATGCTGGTTAGAAGTTTGAAGTCTAGAGGTTTCAAATAGACATTCAGCCAGCCACTAGGACGGCGGGGCAAGCCACTACCAAATGGACTACTACTAATAAGTAATTTGCCACGGGATGTTGTTGGGGGATAGCATTCATCAGTTAGTTAGATATTTTTTGCTAACTGATGTATCGCATATAAGGTCTAACTTCACACATAGTCTATTTATAAGATTATCAAGTACCTACTTTTTTAATATTTACTTCTCAAGTTAAGCCAATCAAGGAATCATTATAATTTACTCCTTGGAGAGAACTTAATTCTTAAATCTTTGAATTAAATACTATGAGTAAACCGATGTTGTAAAACCACAAGCTAAAAAACCCCTGCCGATGAGAGATATTAACATTGGACGACATACCTCATAATATCAATATAATCAAACTTATTGCTGATAGTTATTGGAACATAAAGTACAAACAAGTTGTAAAATCATTTTAAAAGGGTTAGATTTGCTTAGGAGAATAAGGGCAAACGTATTCAAATAAGGTGGGTTATAATAATGTAGCTTGCCTACACGTCTTCCTAAGTTAAACACCTTAAAGCTTCGGGCTAACATATATTCTTTGGATTTGATCTTGAGAATAACGTCTTGGAAAAGTGAAGTCCTTTATTTAGTCTCCGATATATCCCATCATGTCCCCTGATAGCTCAATCTCGACCTTCAGGACCAAAGTCCAATTCTTCATAGTATCGGTAGATGCCCAACGAATAGTCTTGTCTCTTTTTACTAGCCAAGTACTCGCTAATCCTAGGCCGTTCCTTCACAGCGTCATACAGCTTGAATACGTGTGCATACTTGCCCGACTTCTCGGCTGCGGTCATAGCCTTCCTGAAGGCAAATTTGGTGCCGTCAATACACTAGGATATGTTAGCGGCTATCCGTTGACCCGGCTCTCGCGTTTAGACGGTGTCCAAACGGGAGCATTTACATAGATAGAACGAGGAGAGAAGAGACAACAAGGCTCACCTGGAATAGCACCAAGTCTGCATAGGTCAACTGACCGCCGTACAACCACGGACCTTCTCCGCTGGCCTTACCCTGCAGCACACGTTCAAAATAGCCTAGAAACTTGGGGAGACGGGTCTTCACAAAATCCTTGCTTTTCTGCTTCGCTTCCTCTTTCTGGTCCTCATAGTACAGCCCAGAAGCGATAGGATGGTGGCAATCGTGAACCTCATTACTCAGACCGTCAAGGGCTGTTAGAGCAAGCGCGTTGACCTTGTACAATGCGTCTGGGTGCTCCTCATCGTCTTCGCTTGGCACCAGTCCAAGCCGCGGCCCAAGATACAACAAGATGTTGGAGGTCTGAGAGATGAGAAGATCACCATGACGGAGGATGGGAGGCGCGAAAGGCGGCGGGTTGAGATCATCGCCTACATTACCCTCGTCGATCTGCGCCGTCACTTGGTCAATACCCTTCTCAATCTGCGCTGTATCCGTGTACGTAGCCCCGCCCTCCTCAAGCGCTAGGCGTACATGCTCTCCACGACCGGGTATGCCGGGCCAATATATAAGCTCGTATGGCACGTCTTTTGATGACTTTTGTCGCTTAGGAGCAGACATGTTAAGGCGATAGGGGTAAGTAGAGTACCTGCAAGTACGGAATTGTTGTGCGGAAGGTCTAGTCCACGAAAATGCTCTCTGATAGACTACTCCAGAAAAGAGTCGACTTTTGAACATAAAAAGGGGAGGCCGACCAAGGTTAATGAAGGCGGAAACATGGAAAACACATGGAAGCTATATCTGAAGAGCTCCGACGGGGCTAGGTAAGCTTAAGTATGCAAATAAACATCCGGTGCCTGTAGATATTAGGGCGTCATGAATTCCGGCATAGCCGTGAGATAGAAGATTGGACAGAGTCTTGCTTGGGTGGATACCTCCTAACTCCTTGCATGTGGTGTTGTGCGGGGGAATGGGGAATTATATCGATCGTATGACGTCGAGGGCATTTCTTTTTACATCATGCAGGTCTGTACTAAATACCGGCTTTCATCGTAAGGGGTATTTGAAAGGTAAAAGGCACATGATTAAAAGGGTTATCGGGTGAAACTAACGTCTCGAACAATTTCCAACGCAATATCGTGCCAACCCGCAAAGAGAAGCGCTATTGTTTATTCAAGTAGTTCATGATGACTTCGACACTGCATCCTGAATGATTTTGCGGCACTCGACTGGGTCTGAGAACACATGCCAGACGTTACGAGGCACATCCTTGAAGGCCTTCTCGAATCTTTCTGGTTCATTCTTGGCCTCTATGCCGATGGCCGCAATATCTTCAACTTTGCGAATGAGTATCACCTTGACCCAACCAGGGTATGCCCGATAGCTAGAATTTACCCAAGGTCAGCGGCAAGATAAAAAGAAGTATATGTGACGGAGAAACAACTTACATCTCACCATAAGCCTCAGGATCAGACTGGGTCGAATCACCAATGCAAATCATCTTCCTCTTCGGAAGCCACGAGTGTATCTTTTCCATTCGATCAACCTTATAATCTTCTGTACCAAGAGTAAGAGTCGTTAGTAGCCCCGGTAAACTCATCCAGCTAGCATCACGAAGAATGATAGTGCCATGCGGATAATTCTTTTCGCGGAAGTCGCGAAGGAAGCCATACAGGTTATACGGCGATGCGGAAAGATAAAACCATGGTGAGGACTTTTGGACAAGGGATTGTATGAACTGATATAATTCCGGCATCCCGGGACAGACTTGAGGCGTATCGAGGAAAGTCGTCTGCAGGATGCCAATGGGATCACTTGTCTGAGTGATCTTGATCGTGTCGTCTATATCTGTTCTTTGTTAGCGACTCTTACATGCTTACGACTAAATAAATGCCTACCTGATATTATACCCCAACCCTCAGGATCAGCGTAGAATGTCTTCATTTCTAGTATGCCATTGGCGCCTTTGGGAACCTCGGCAAATGTGGGAATAAGGCTACCACCTTTATTGTCAGGAAGCCTCTTAATGTCGCTGCTAATACCATTTCTACCACCGGGACCAAGCTTGAGCGGTGTCTTCCCTCCCTGTAGTGCCTTGGCCTGAGCACCGGGCTTGATATCCTGTACGAACGGTCGAATGCGCTCCTCGATGGTAGGATAATTCGGGTCTTTACTGTCCAAATCGATCTTACCGGCGATGGCACTTACGGCGTCGATAACGGCGCAAGACGAATGCTGAGTGAAGGCAGCCGAGACAAATTCTGCTTCCCATTTTCCCGTACTTTCATTGCGATAGGCAGTATTATCGAGCAACCAAAGGGTGTCTTCGTTCGTAATAGAGCGAGGGAAAGGGTTCTTCTCGCCCAAGTACGAAAAAAGCTGAAGGACTCGATCGGTCGGGGTTGGCGCAGATGTGAAGGGCGAGAAGTTGGGCAAGTCGTGTTCTGTCTCGTCAAACCGACGCTCTTGTCGCGTGCGATTTTGCATGTCGACCGCGCCGGTATGTCGGTAGCGTATAGCCATCTTTACAATGCGACGCTTATTCTTAGGGGGTTATAAGGAGATTGGCTTCTAGATAGCGTCTGTTGTAGTCACTGTGGCCGCTGTAGCTGATATATTAGGGACGTTTACTATACTAGCGCGCGATCTCGTTGTGTTGTGTTCGTGTGTCTATAACCGACTGAAAGATGAAGATGGTTCATAGAGTCGAGAATATACTTCGATTCCTAAATATATATATACCTGCCTACCTAGGTATATATAAACTGGCTAAGCAGCTAGACGACGATCAATAGCAAGACTTGCTGAGGTCAACTGTCAGATGCAGGACGGCGGCCTACCCATTTCGTCTGGCCTAGCTGCACGGTAGCGTCATGTTAGGGCTTCGCATACAACGCTGCCAGGGCTGCCTCAGCTTAGGTCGTAGGCAGGGAATGGCGGTGCGTGCATGGGTATGCACAACCCTGACACCGTTTTTGCATGGCAACATGGTAAATATGCTGGATAATGTACCGTGAAGAGCTTGGTATGATGCGTTTCGAGTTTGAAGTCTCTCTATCTAACAACTTGGCACCGGAGATCGTGGTCGGCGTGATCAGGTATGTCGCAACTCTAGTGTAATATGTTAGTAGTGTACGTGGTATCGAGCGAGAAAGATGAAGAATCGCTCCAATTCAACTTGGCTATCGTCAAGGCGCATACTACCTAATGTATAAACCTTGGCGGGTGGTCTACGCGCCACCTACGTAATATCACATTAGTGCGGGCACTGTTCAAGATACGTTAGGTACCAGGGGTACCTACGATGTGTTTAGGTACATATACCTGTCCAACACCTCACTTATACACTTACATATATCATATATGTACCTGCTCACCTAAAGTACCTATTTTTTAATGATTAGCGTATAATTATAATTATATATAGATGCCGTTGCTAAGATTAGAATTGCACCAAGGGCTTAAGGTCGAGTTTTATAAACTACAAAATGTACCTAGCTATACTTCTAGGCCTTCAAGCCTCCACCAGGTGATAGTATACACCAATATGCAGGTACGTTCTCGCTATTCACTAAGAATGCATGTCATGCGACATGTACGAATAGAATAGAGCTCTACCTAGGTTAGAAGAATGTAGTATTCGATGGGGATTGTCACCATGCAAGAGGAATATTGCAACACATCCAGGTTCGTAGCTTTGGTGTCTTTCGTGCGGAGAAGCATTGAAAATCCCCTTCTATTTAGCAACTTTTCCCTCTACGCCACCTAAAGCCTAAGCGCGTGAACTCATCGGGTTCTCATCACTATTGAATAACAAGATGCTCGAAATCCGGTGCAGCGGAACCCCTTACGAGGTAATATCTCTGAAAGCAACCAGTAGCCCATCCTTCTCGATAGACTACGCTAAAATATTGCTAGATTGGGTTTACCCATGGTCAGCTAGCCAAGGAGAAGATATCAGGGTCTATTGATTTCTATAAACAGCTGTTTTGGGAGTCTTGTTCGATGACCTGGGCAGAGGTCTTACAAGAAGCGGCAAAGTATCATGATATTCTGAAGAAGATCGCAGCGCGGTACCTCGTGGAAATTGGCGGCATTGCCGACGGAGCGCATATACCGTTTCTGGATATTCTAGCGTTGAATATACGATCCGAGATAACCTTCGGTCTCTTCTCTGACACATCCAACGGGATCACAGATATCCCTAGCGATGGCTGTACGAGCTTAGGTTGGCTAGCCAGGTCGAAATCCTTCGTTGGTCAGAACTGGGACTGGCGGATAGAACAAGGTCCAAACCTCATAATATGCTACATATCACATCCAGATACAGAAATCCCGGATATCGCCATGGTGACCGAAGCTGGTATTATCGGGAAAATAGGACTTAATTCAAAGGGCGTCGGTTGCTGCTTGAATGCAATTCGCTGCCACGGTCTTGATCGATCCAAGTTACCTATACATTTCGCCCTTCGCGCCGTACTAGAATCAGGATCTCGAGAGGAAGCGGTGAAATTGATCAAGTCTTCTGGCGTCGCTGGAGGTGGGCATATCTTGGTAGGAGATGCGACAGGCTCGGTAGGCCTCGAGTGTACAAGCCGTTGGGTGAAGGAGTTATCGATGGATGACAACGGGCGGGTATGTCATACGAACCATCTTCTTCTAGATAAGTCAGGTATCGACGAACCGTTATGGCTAGAAGACTCCCCTTGGCGTTTATCCCGAATCCGAGAGCTCGCTACTAAAATATCCGAGCCGACTCTTGATACAATCTTTGAAATTTTCAAGGATACTAAGGATTATCCAGCTTCTATCAATAGGAAACAGGAGGTCGATTCTAAGGCCCAGACTCTATTCACGATTGTCATGGATTTAACAAGCAGGTACGCTCAGGTCACGGTTGGGAGACCTACCGAGTACAGCGAACGACGATTTCTGAGATTTGTAGATGGCTGAACGAACCTCTTTGCTGTATCTACCTCTTATTCGGATAAATTATTTTCTACTTGTATTAGTATTTATTTTATTTTATTTTTAATATTACACAAATTCGTTTAATAGCTCCCAGCAACCCATTGAGTAAAGTATCTAATACACTACCTACGCTCAGGGGGTAAGCAGTGCATGTTCTTTTAAGAAATGTATTTTAGCGTCGTTTCCCCTATCCAGGGACGTAAAATGTACGTACCTACATATTGGATGAACCGTGCTATCGATAACAGGGATTTATCTAGGTTTACGATTGACCAGATAAGCCATTATGTTAAAATAAAAAAAATAATCGCATATTAAATTAAAATTGGTAAAAAATTACTTGTTATAATTTAAAAAATATTAAATATATATTTTTAAATTTTATTACGGTTTATTATAATAAAATTATTTATTTAATTAATATAATATTTATTTATATAATAAATAATTATAATTATTTTAATAAATTTTTTTTTTTTTAAATTTATATAAATTAAATTTTAATTTATTATTTATATTTAAAATAAATTATACGGTTTATAAAACGAATGGCGTTTTACACGTTAATTTAAATAAAAAAATTTATTAATTTTATAAATAACTTTTAAAATTTTATTATTTTTATACATAAATTAAATTTATTAAAATAATTGTTATTAATAATAATAATACTTTTAATATTATTAATTATAATTTTTAAAAGTTTAATAAAAAGTTTAAAAAAAAATTAATATTATATAATATTAACGGTAATAATTTTTTTAAAATAAATAAATATGTTTATATATTATGACGTTTTATACCTTTTTTTTTATAAAAAAAAAGTTTACTTTAATTATTAAAATAATATATATTTTAACTTTATTTAAAATTAATTAAAAATTAATTATTAAATTTTTTTTCGATATAATATATTATTTTAATATTATACGGGATAAATCCATTAATAATAATTTATTTAATAATTTAAACATTTAATTTTATTGTTTTAATATTATAATTTATTATAATAAATAAGTTTTAAATAAAAATAATTGTTTATTTATTTTTATTTATATAATTAAATCGTATAAAATGTTTTATAATTATAAAATTACAATTTAAAAAATATTAATTATTAACATTATTAATTAATAAAAAAGGTTTATTAATATATTTTTTATTTAAAAAATTAAATTAAATAAAATTTACTTATTTAAAATTTTTTATAAAAATTTTATTACTTTTTTTTTTTTATTAATATTGATATATAAACGGTAAATATTAAAAATATCCGCGCGATTTAAATTAACCTTAATTTTAATAAAGTAAAAACAAATAAAAAAAATATTATAAGGTTTTTATATATTATTAAAATATAAAAATTATTTTTTAAAATAATGTTAATAATGTTTTTAAAGTTTATATAAAAAAAAAATAAAAAATAATGTTAAAAATAAATTTATTAAAATTAAAATAAAATAAAAACGTAAATATAAAGTTATAAATTCTTTTACTTTTTATATTATTAAACGTTTAAATAACATTAATAATATTAATAATTTAAAATTATTGTAAAATTATTTTTATAAAAAAAATAATAATTTGTTTTTTAAACCGACATTTTATACGTTAATATTTTATTTAATAACTTTTTTTATGTTAACTCCGGAAATAACTTTACATATAAAACTTTTTAAATTATATAAAATTACAAATAATAAAATTATAAACGATAAAATTACAAATGGTAAAATTATAAATAATAAAATTATAAACGGTAAAACTTTTAATAATAAAAAAGTAAAAATAATATTTATATAAATTTTTATTTATATTATAAAAGTTATTTTTGTTTTTTAATTTAACGATTAAATTATTATTTTATAAATAATTAATATTTTAGTTAAGTTTTTATTTAATTTTTTACGGTACGATTTTTTATAATAATATAAATTAAATAATTGTTTAAATTTAAATTATTATATAAATATTAAAAAAATTTAAATATGTAATAATGTTTATAATATTATTATATGTATTTAAAGTTATAAAAGTTTTTATGTTTATATAATATTTTATTATTAAAATAAAATATGGATTAATTGTCATTATTTAATAATTTTTTTTTTATATGTATAAATATTTTTAAAATAAATGTTTTTTATAAATATTAATATTATAAAATTATAAGGTTTTTTTTATATGTATAAAAAACGAAAATGTATTTAATTTATATTATAATTATAATAATTAAATTTATTAAAAAAATAAGTTTAATTGTTTATAATAATTATATATAATTTATATATAATTTTTAATTTAATTAAAGTTTTTTTTATTTAAAAAGTTTTTTTATTTAATATTTTACCAATTTTTTATATTAATAATATTATTATTTTTTTTTGTTTTTAATTATAATATTTGTATAAAATGCGGCGTTAAAAAAGTTAAATATTTTGTTAATTTTTTTATTTTAAATATTTGTTTTTTATATGGTATTATTAAGTTTATTTTTTAAAAAAAAAACGGTTAATTTAAGTTAATTTTTTTTGTAATTTTTTTAATCTTTTTATTAAAAAAGTTAAAGTTAAAAATAAGTTATAAAAATTATTGTTATTTAGTTTTATTTAAACTATCGTATAAAATTAATTATAAATATTTATAAAAAGTTAATTATAATTATTTTTTTTATATAATTTAAATTTATTTAAGTAAAAAACGTTTTATATTATTTATAAATAATTTTTAAAAAGTATTAATTAATATTTTTATTTAATAATATAATTTTAATATTAATTAAAAACTTTATATTAATTTTTAACCTTTATTATAATACATAATTAAAATTTAACAAAAAATAATTTTTTTATGGTTTATTTTACATAAAATTAACGCGGTTTAATTACCTTTTAATAAAATATTTATTTTATTTTTTAATAAAGATTTAAATTTCTTTTTATATAATTAATATATATATAATAAAAAAAGTAATTTTATAAATTAAATTATTTTAAATTTAAAATTTTGTATATTTTATTTAAATAAAAATGTTTTATAAAAATTAAAAATTAATATTTTTTTATTTTTTATTTTATACAAATATTTTAATTTACTTTTTAACGTTTAAAGTAAAACCTTTTAAATTATTTTTATTTAAATAAGTTTTTTATATAAAAGTTTAATATATTATTATAAATAAAAAGATTTTTTTTTTATTTATTTAAATAATATAAAGTATTTATTTTAAATTATATATAACGCGTAAATATTAAATAAAAATAAAAATAACGGTATTTTTAAACTAATCGATATAATATTAAGTTAAATATTTTAAATATTTATTAATTTTAATATATATATAAATTTTTTAATGTTTAAATTTATTATAACTATTAATATTTTAAATTTAATTAAATTTATATATAATAAATTTTTTTTTTACTTTTTAACCTATTATATATAACGGTAAATAATTAAAGGAAAAAATTTTTAATAAATTTTTATAAATTTTTATTTAAATATTATTAATATATATAATAATAATAATAATTAAAGTTAATATATATTAAAAAAAAAAATTTTAAAAATTTAATATATTATTATAAATATAATTTTGTTTAAATTTATTTAAACGTTTAAATATAATAAATTCTTTTGTTAAAATAATTTTAATTTTATCGATTTATTATTATTTATTTTTTAAAATTATTTAATAATATTTAAAGTTTAAATTATATCAAATTTACTTTATTTATAATAAAAAAACTCGAAATTTTTTTAATGTAAAAATTTATTAATTTTAATATTAAAAAAATAAGTTTAAAAAAAAATAATTAAAAAATATTTTTTTAATTTATTTAAAATATTTTATTAATTTTATATATAATATTATTTTTATAATTTTTATTTATAAAATATATAATTAAAAATTTTTAATAAAGATTTTTAATAATATTTTTTAAAAATATTTTATTAAATTCTTTTAATTAAAAAACTTATATAAAATTAAGTAATAATATGTTTTTTATATAGTTTAAAATTAATAGATTTTTATATTATATTATATATATATAATACAAAAGTAAAAAATAAAAAAAAAAGAAATTAAAATTTTTTTTTATAATATATAAAATAAATAAATATAAATATTTAATATATTTATATATTAAAAGATAATATTTTATTTATTATTTATTAAAATATATATTTAAATAAATAAATATTTATTTATTTAATATATAATAAATGTCGCATTAACGAGGTTTTTAACTAACGTTATAAATAGTTTTTAATTAATTATTAAAGTGGTTAACTTTAATATAAACTTTTTTACTTTATATAAAAAGTTATACATATATACGGTAAATAGCTATTTTTTTAAATTAATTTAAACTTTTATTTTAAGATTTATTTTTAATTTATATTATTTAATTAATAGTTATAAATCCCGGTTTACGTTTAAAGTAATTATTATATATTATTTTAAATTATAAATTTATAAACCGGTTATTTATTTATTATATATTTATTTATTTATTTATTTATTTATTTTATTTATATTTTAAACAATTAAAATATCGTTTTTAATAATTTTTAATACGGTTATTTTAATAATTATTAAATTTAATAACCGATAAAACTTTATTAATTAATATATATAATTTTATATATATATTAAATAGTATAAAATATAGTTTTATGTTAATTTTAATATTTAAAATATACTTTATATAATAATTTATCCGCCAGTTAAATTAACGTTAATTACGGTAAAAAAAAAATTAAAGTAATAATTATAAACCGTAAAAAAAACCTTTTTATAAATAATAAAATATATAATTTATATAACAGTAAAAAAAAAAAACTTTTTAATATAACATTTAATTTAATTAATTAAATTTATATATTATATTTAAATTTAAACTTAAATTAATTATATAATTAATCCCGAAATTTTATAATTAATTATAATAAAGTTTAAAATAGTTTATTTAAATAAGTTATTATTAATTTAAAAAACTAATATTATCCGAAAAAAACGTTATTATTATTATACATTAAAAATATAAAAAAGTTATAATAACGGTTTATAATATTTAAAATTT